TCTTTATTGTACATTCCTATCTAAATATAATCAAATACTGCAGCAATCAACTTCCGTTTTCTTTAATTTTCGTGGATTTTATCCTCAAATGAGGCTTGCCTTGAAGAATAGACCCCCCGTTTCCCTCAATTATTTATATCAGCTGTAGCCAAATGAAACTCAGACTCTGTTTTAATTTGGTTGCGAACCAGAACAGTGATGACATAAGTAAGTGTGACTGGCGTTGAGCTGATATGGAGAGAAGATTCACTAGATAACACAATGGAGGGAAAGGAGAAGGCCAGTATAAATTAAAAAAAAAAAATATTATTCAGTCTTTATCAACAGACAAAACAATAGACAATGCACACCAAATAAGAAAAAAATTGTGGGAAACACGTAGAAATTTAGATTTTCTTCTTTTGTTGTTGTAATTTTCCCCTTTGGGATTTCAGCATACCTTTATCTATATATGTATGTGTGTGTGTGTGTGTGTGTATATATATATATATATATATATATATATATATATATATATATATATATATATATATATATATAAACACACATCATAATACATATAAATATATAAATCCAGATACATATATGCCCGATCCTTTTTCCTGCGCCTTCTTATTAGCCATGTGTCATGAAAGCTCTCACTATTAATTTGTTCTCTCATTTTGTTTTTCAGATTGTATGTTGACCTTGTCAGTTGTTTAGTTAATATGATGTTGTGTCCATTGATAAAGACTGGTCAGAATGTGCCTGGTCAGAAATGTATAAATGAATTCTTTAACCTCATCCACTCCCTTCCTTAACTCAGCTTTAGTCTCGTAGTCCACTGCAGGACTCAAAATGTTCTCAGGGACAAACAGGACAGGACCTGGTGCTTCCCTACGACAGAGCTTTATTGTTCTCAGATGATGTTTATTATTGATGAGCAATGCATCCAGCCTCTACCAACATCCAGCAGTGTTCCCAAGTCTGTCTATCGCCATCTCTAAATAAACATCTAGCAGAATTATTCACTGTCACAAGCAAATCTAGTAGGAATCTTCTGATTCATTGGAAATGTACAGCAAGCTTGTCCTTCACACACGATTGCTACACTTCTTTTTTAACACACAAACAAACTGTTGTTGGATCATTATTCACTGCACAATTTAGTCCAGTCTAGTCTACATTCATGCACACAGCTGTGCCACTCGAGGTCTTGCTCACAACAGAATACATGAGTCTCTCTCTCTCTCTCCCTCTCTTTCTCTCTCTCTCTCTCTCATTTCAAAAAGTAAAGGTTCCTTTTCCACGCCTTTAGGCATAAAGGGCTAGACCTATATTTTTATAGACCAATCGGCCCAAAATGGGTGATGTGGTCAGCCTTTACTTCCCGGGACTGCACCCAGTACCCACTCAAGGCTATGTCGACAAAGAGTCAAGGTCATTTTTGAAAAAAGTCTGGCTCCGCCAGGGAGAGAACCCACAACCTTCCGATCCGCAAGCGTCTAACCGCTAAGCCACGACGACTCCCAGCATGGGTTTACACAGCCCAAAAGGAGGGGAAAACAATACAAGAGGACAGCGCTTACCAGGCAACTACGTCAAACATGACCATGGAGATAGCCGCTGCTTCTACAGCAGGGGTTCTAAAACTTTTTTAGCTGCGGCACCCTTCTCAGGCTTTAAAAAAATGTTGCGGCACACCTACACATATAGCAGTTAAATTCTTAGGAATAGAAGACAAAATAGTGCACATTTAATGTTCAGTTGTCTTTAATGCGAGGAATGAAACTGTGTGTATGAATTTTGCATTATATCCTTTTCATTTTTAGAAATTCTCTCTACCATGGATGACCCTGCTTGAAGAGATAAAATGCGGTGTTTGACAGGTTGTGTAGAAAGTGGTTTGCCTTTGCTTTCCTTCTGGGCAGTTACTGTACTAGTCGGTAGCCATAGCCATTGAAAAGAACAAATACACCCATACTTCAAGAACTGAATATTGAAGAAGGTTGGCTATTAAAGACAATAAAAAAACACAGAAAATTGAAATATTTTGGTCACTTGAAATGTCATGAAAGTTTAGAGAGAACAATAATGGAAGGGTGTATGCCTGGAAAGAGGAAGGCCAAAGAGAAGATGGGTGCAGGATGTGGCGGATGATCTACAGATTGGTATATCATAAGCAGGACATCTTGCTTGTGATCGAGACGTTTTCCGGAGGGTTGTTATGGGAGCAAGGTGCTGCAAGGGACTGACTGACAACCGGTCAGAATAAATAGAAGCCTGAAACAATATACCCAAAATTATATTAATAAAGTCATTAAAAAATTTTTTTTTGGGGGGGGGGGGGGGGGGGTGTTGTTGTTAAAATAATTTACAACAAAACTGCGTTTAAAATTAAATTAAAAATTGCATTTGTGACAAAAATGATTTTTTTTTTAGTCCTATGCAGATTTTAAGGCCCCAGGCTTTAGCTTATTCGGCATATACTTAAATCTGACACTGCTTACAAGAGAGAGAAAGAGAGAGTTTTCTAGCGTCACTGATTCTTTACATGGATAGAGGAGGGCGCTTCAACTGGCTTTGGCCTCAGGTTCCAGTGCTTCTATCAGTTATACATATTAAATAACCCACTGAACGTAGATTTGCCTAGAAAAACCACAACAACCAAAAACTGTCGGGGTTGGTTCTGCAACGTCCTGTAGAGTGCAAACAACTAACTTTTTTATATGAAATATATAGTGTACTGTCGAATGGTAAGTGTGTAATTGCTTTTCACGTTCAACCAGCATCACCGAAGGGAGAGATTTAGGTTATAATTGTAACTAGGTTATATGCACCATATAAAATAGCTTCTTAGCACTGTACGCCACCAAGAGCCATGAGAATGACTCCTGTAGTGTTGTGATCTGACTGACTGACTTTCTACCCCACCAGGACATCACACAAGCGGTAAACACCCGATGACACAAAGTGCCACCATGCGGATGAGGATCGCCGTGGAGAGGTCCCAGAAACCGCGTTCAGACAATAGGCCACATTCATGGCCTGCCTATATTGCGGCCCCTAACAAAAAATTTCGTATGAAAAGGACGAAACTGAATACTGTGTTATGATCAAAGGAGACAGACTGAAATACTGTCCCGACCGGCGACGATGTTGCATAAAACAATTTTTTCAAACTACATAGAATGCAAGAATAAAGCCGGTAAAGTTTTTGACCAAATGGCACCACTTTTGACCGAAGATAAATAGTCACGACATAAATCAACTGCTTACGTACTATGCTAGCCCGGCTCTCTAGCGTAGTTGGCTAAACCGGATTGCGCGGTGACGAACTCCTTGTGGTCCGGGTTCCCTTCCGTGGGTAGGTAGAAAAGCCACATTTATCCCAGATTTACGGTATTTACGGAATCAAGGCCGAAAGGTTGCGATATCTATAATACCGAGCTTAAGGGTTAACAACTCATGGCTTCTGGATACTAAAACAAACAAACGTACTATGCTAGGTGTAGCAAGGAAAGATCGACTTAGGAACGATGCTATCAGGAGAAGAGTCGGGAGTAAACCAATACTGAGCTTTATATGTAAACAACAAATCAAATGGTTCGGCCATGTAACAAGATTGGCATCAGACAGAGAGCAATGTTGTACAGATACAACGGTAACATACCTAGAGGTCGACTACGCAAAAATGGACCACTAAAATATCAGAGACACTGAAAACTATTTTATACGTAGCAAACTGAAGGGCTGGTTCCAGAGATCTCCTCCTGCCCTGACGCCGCGAGGCATTCCAGAAGTAGAGAAAAGAAGAAGAAGATAGAATAAAACTGGCGAATGACGAAAACTGAATGCTCACATCAAATAAAGACAGTCTGCACTACCTGGTCACACCGGAAAAAGGAGGAAACTGGTGTACATCGTAACGGCTGAAAGCTGGAGGGGGAAAGAGACAGACACAGAGAGAGAAGATGATATGGTGGATGGTTAGACATCATGACATGGAAGATCACATGTGTCAAAATTTATTAAAGTACATAAGACAATTGGTAGACATGAAAACGAACGCCACACGGCATGCGCTATATAATTCAGACACAGACAGATTGATCGCGTGGACAACTGCTGAACTGTTGGCGACAAGAACTGCTATCATCAATGATGAACTGCATTTCTAATGTTGGACTGTTTGTGTTAGCACTTCGGATGGCTACCGTATGCTTTAATGCGAGTGTATGATAGATATGCTGAGACAGCAGTCTGTCAATCTTTCCACAAGGGACTGTGATAAACATTCTGGGTGTTTTTTGTTGGCACAGGAGCGGAGCAAAGATGGGGCGACCCGTTGCTATGAAGCTGAAACTAAGACTACCAGAATTCAGACACAGTCAAAAATATTTACACAACATTAGGGGCTGCTAACCTGCTTTGTTGCCATCTATGTTTATGAATTAAATGCGTTTTAAACACTCTACATGCAGTGGTCTTTAGTGTGTCCATATGTACTCGCCAATTTGTCTAAACGCTGTCCATGCAATAAAAGTATTAACTCAATCTTTGATAACAGACTGCAACACCTGGATCTACACACCTTGGTGTGCTGGAGTAAGGGGCAATGAGCCAGCCGACCAGCTGGCAAGTAATGCACAAATTCATACAGGAAGATGTGTGGACAGAGTTGATATCATCAACGCCGTGAGGACTAGGTTGGTGGTTACTCATTATTGTCTGTGCTAACACGATTGCGTTACCTGGGAGTGAAGCTTGGTGAAACACGTATGTGTCATCTTCGAAGGCAAATACTGAAGACATTACAATGTAACCAAGTTCTCATGGGAACATTCAGTAGAAGCACCTCGGGATCACGAATGCATTGTTGGAATGAGCAAGCATAGAAATGTATAATCTGTAGTAACGTCGATTGTGGTATGACATTTCAACATTGTTCTTGCATCAAATTTTCGTACATGTAACATCTGTTGCCCCGGGGCCACCTGCCGTATCGATAACTCGAAAACATGGCCGAGGACGTACCAAGGGCCTACGGCGGCGGTAAAATTAAAACACGACATAACCCCAGTACGAGAAAGTTCAGTCCTTACACGGTAAAAACAAATATATCGTTAAAATACATTGTTGCTTCTACAAAATATTTCTTGCCGAGAAGGCTGTTTGAAGTATGAATACGTTAAAGTTGTTTTCACACACCAGGAAGATTAAGAAACGAAACACCACCATCAAATTGGCAAACTGCTGTCGTTAGGCACTTTAGTCAAATTTTTAAAATGCCCTCAACACCAATAAAACCAGCACAGTTAGATAGCTGTAAACAATCTCTTTCCAATGGTACCTCATTTAGCCTTTTATGTCATTTCTGAGCTGAGATATGTAGGTTTTTGTGGAGATGAGATGTAGAAAGCAGCTGTTCAAACTTGCCTCCCAGAAACAAGGTTTTCTCTGCGCAACAAAACTGCGAAACTTTCGTTTTGGCTTTGTTTACATTGGACTGTCATTGGACAAGATGGCAGCCAATGAGACACAGCCACTGGCTGAGCCAGCGATTGCCTGAAAAATGTCACTGTACATCTACCTAGCCATGGTTCAGAAAGAAATTTTATACACAAATGTAAAAATGGACGGAGAATTCAATTATAACTAGCATTAACAGTGCCAGTAACAGTTAAAGCCTAAAGCTAACCTTGAATACTTAGCGCTATTTTCAATCAAACTGATGTAACAGAAAAACAGAGGACGTCCGGCTGTCGTAGACATGCGCTGTTAATCGGGGTCCTTCCCGCTGTTTTCAGCTATTTAGAGTGGGCGAAAATCACACCAATCGCAAAATTTCATGAGAGATTAGGACCCATCCCGAAATTCAAGCCGACTTTTCCGAAGCAAGTTTCGAACGGTTTCCGTGGTACCGGAAATTGCCAAAAGATCGCAAATTTCCGGACACCGTAGTCGCTACTGTCGTCATCGTCCCGCTATGGAACAATAAAATAATGAACAATAAACTTTATTGTTTATTATAAAGGAAGTAAGAGGGACTGTACTAATTACAGAGGAATATCGCTTCTCAGTCACTCTAGAAAAATGTATGCAAGATCATCAAAAGAAGCTAGGACCATTGGCAGAGTAGTATTAACTTTCAGAAGCACAGATGTGCTTTCGATTCCAAGAAACAGAAGTTACACAGATGCCATTTAAATTTATACATTGAGACAGCTGTCTGAGAGAGCAATAGAATACAATAAGACATGTTTGTTGACATTCATAGACCAGGAAAAAGCTTCGATAGAGTCGACAGGAATATGTTGTTGAACTGTATGTAGCGATTATGATCATTCAAGTGACCCACAAAAACGAAAGTAGAGATCGCTTAGTTACAAGATGGCATCGGTGGTCCACGAAAAATGGCTTCTTTGCCTATCAGTTACTTTGAAATCCTGTCGCTCAATACTGGCTGCTCAGAATCGAATACGTGGGCTCAAAGTTATTCAGAAGAGGATGCTCAACCAAACGACACCTAACTTACATAGCGATCTTTGTTCAGCCAAATAAATTTCACTATTTGCTATGCGGGAATTAAATTTCTTTAATATCTCCTTTTTAAAGTGAATTTATATACTTTTAGTTGACATTTTTGGATTCTGTGTCCATTTTTACATAAATATGGGTAGTTTTGCTGGAATCTGTACATCATAGAATATAAAATTTAAATTTCTTCCCGGTCACTTCTTGACAGCTAAATCGGCGATTTCTCAAAATGGCTACCTCGTGGCCTAAACGAACTGTTTATCTCAGATTAATTAATCTAGGTTTTTATTAAAACAGTTCAAAAATAAGGCAATTTTTATCGTATTTATAAATTACCTTTCTTTAACTTTAATTTCACATGAGTTTAAATAATTTTAAATACTTGAAAATAATGTTTTAGCACGTTTTTAACATAGACTATTTTCTAGGGTATTTTGCGTTGAAAATGGACACAGACATTGGTTTGAACATTTTTAAATATACTTTAAAATCACATTATTGTAGTTTTTAAATCATTTTGGGAATCTTTAGCCATTATAGCATTCTTTAAGCCATAACCTATCATTTGGCATGAATAATAGTTCCTGTTTAAAGCCTTTTTACCTGTTGACCCCCCACTCTCCGCACCCAGACTGACATTGTGGATGCAGACAGTGGTTTAAACATTTTTTATTATACTTTAAAATCACATTATTGTAGTTTTTAAATCATTTTGGGAATCTTTAGCCATTATAGCATTTTTTAAGCCATAACCTATCATTTGGCATGAATAATAGTTCCTGTTTAAAGCCTTTTTACCTGTTGACCCCCCCACTCTCCGCACCCAGACTGACATTGTGGATGCAGACAGTGGTTTAAACATTTTTTATTATACTTTAAAATCACATTATTGTAGTTTTTAAATCATTTTGGGAATCTTTAGCCATTATAGCATTTTTTAAGCCATAACCTATCATTTGGCATGAATAATAGTTCCTGTTTAAAGCCTTTTTACCTGTTGACCCCCCACTCTCCGCACCCAGACTGACATTGTGGGTGCAGACAGTGGTTTAAACATTTTTTATTATACTTTTAAATGAACATAAAGTAGTTATTTAATCATTTTTCGAATCTTTAGCCATTATAGCATTTTTTAAGCCATAATCTATCATTTGGCATGAATACTATTAGTTTTAAAATTATAGTATTAGTATTGACTTATAGATGCTTATTTAGAAAGTTGACGATTAATAAAATTAATAATAAATTATAATTTGTTTAACTGTGCATAAGTTTACTTACTTACAGCCAAGGCTAGTTACAACTTATGATTATTAATATTTAATAATTATTTTCTAAATATACTAATATATACTAGCTAGCAAACAGATCACATGGGACATAGATACGTTAATAAAATATATATAATGTTATTTTTCCTCTTACCTTATGAAATGCTGCTCCATGAAAAAACACAACATAAATCCAAAGCGAATCACAAAGGAGCTTATTAAATAATTTTTTACTCCATGAAAACATAGCACTGAATCACAAATCAGGTATGAGCAGTTACCTTAGATTATTTTGAACTAGTAAATAAAATATCCAGCAGTGTTAGTTAAGAAGAAGAGGGAAACACTGTGGTAAAATGCGCTCATCATCAATAAAATGAAAGAATAACTCGCAAAGGACTGAAGGGATTATGTTAAATCAGTAAAAAGGGTGCATATTTTCACTTGGTTATCAAACAATATTGGGGGTCTCTGTAGAAAAGTGGTCAAGCCATTAACCTCGTGCTCGGAAGGTTGCGGTGAGTTTATTTTACAAACTGCTTTGTTCGTCTCAAAAATACATTTTGTTTGGGTTAACAGGGACCCCTGGAGGCTGTTGCCGGAGCTACGGTATTCAGGCTTACTGCTAAGGTCTCGACATGCGGGCTAGTCGTTCATGGTTATGTGGAGAAAGACCAAGCCATATGAAACCAGTAACGATGCAGTGAAGTCAATCCACTCGCTATTGAACATTTTTTAACAGTGGAATAGAGCAAATTTCGGTCAGATGTATACACACTACACACACAATTGAGAGTGCAAGAAAAAGCATTTTTAAACAAATAGGAAGAGATGCATCAAAACAAGAAGAATAGTTACAAAAGTATGCATATTACAGTATATGTCTTGGAAGACTCACTGGATAATAATCATTAATTTAATTCATAAATAAGGTTATCAATCCTGATAAACAAACTCATTTTTATGTTATTTAGGTTTGAATCACATCATTTTTTTTTTAAAGGCAACAACTTTAGTCAGAGCCTGCTGTCCTGAAAGCAATGACATATGGTTGCTAAGGGGTTCAGCAAAAAACTTGAGAGTTATTGACATTAAACATGATAAATTTAGGTCCAGTTTTCACTTGGGAACACGCCGCAATCTTGTTTCTGTGTTTTCCATTATAAATTTTTGGGGCAACTTTCCGTCACTGAAATGTGAATATCTCTGCTTAGAATTGACATACAGGTTTTCAACCTCTATTCAGCTGTCTTGGTTTAAAAGTAAAAAACCTAATTTTTACATTTTGACTAAAATCCCTACTGTATGGGGGAAAAGGGAGACAGCAATCATCTCATTAATATTTCCAAAAACCTGTACACACATAGTATTACTATTATTAGTAAATGCTGCATAAGATCGAAGGCAGGATTGTCAAGAACTTTTAAAGTGAACTCTGATGTGCGTCAGGTCTGTGTACTATCGCCACTTCTTTTTATAACATACGTGGATACCATATGTAACAAAATGAACTTTAATCATGAAGAAGATATTTCAGAATTACTATTCGCAGATGACCAGGTACTCATAGCAAAATGTACAGAATACCTACAGAACCACCTAAATCAAATTTGTTATAAAGGGGAGGAATATAATATGAAAATAAACACTACAAAGACAGAGACAATGGTGATAGGAAGACAGAAAGACAATTTAGAAATAAAATTAAAAAACAATACCTTAAGACAAACAGAGGAATTTAAGTATTTGGGAGCAATTTTAACATCCAATGGAAAACTAGACAGAGAAATTAGCTCGAGATGTGCCAAAGCTAATCAAGTAATGGGGCAACTATCTCCCCTGTTGACACACTAGCAGATACCCCGGAGTACTAAAGTGAATCTTATTAGAACTATTTTGTGGCCAACACTATGCTGTCAGTGCCAAACCATGACATTTACATCCTCTAATGAAGTACAATTGTGATAAGAGAGATGAAATGCCTTAGAAGAGCTGCAGGAGTTTCAAGGAAAGACAGAATACGAAATCAGACAAATGCTAGGAATAAAGCCAGTCTCATAAGTCATCAAAGAACAACAAATGAAGTGGTTTGGACACCTAACAAAAATGCCCTGGTACTATCTGCCACAGCGAGCCACACTAAAACATTACAGCGAGTGGAAGACCTCGGAAAATATGGAGTGATGACATTAAGAACAGCCTAACTGAAGTGAACATCAGTCTTTATGGTGCTCTTGACAGAGCTCATCAACGAATGTTACATCTCCTCCCGACACTTGGCTGAGGTACAAGGTGGAAGAGAAGAAGAAAAAGAAACATAGTCAGAACTTTCTAAAGCAAATTAGCAGTTACAATATTGGGCTGTCATGCGGGAGACTCTGGTTCGACCCTTGGTAAGGTGATGGAGTTTTTCTGTCTACGCCACCCTAAAAATGGTACAGCACAATTATAATTTTTCATTTGTCTTCTCCCCTCCCCCCCCCCGACACACACACACACACACCAGCCCGAATATGATATTATCTATTGTATATGATACGATTATTTTATTAATAAATCTCGGAGTCCCCATGGTGGGGGTGAAATGAAAGAAAAACCAGTGAAAATTGCTGATGAATAAAACCTGAATAAGTCCTAACACTTGTGTTTTGGGAAGCAAGGAATGTGTAGGCTCTACAGACACCTCTTTCTCATGGTTCTGCCTCTTTTTCTGTCTCCTGCTATGTTTTGATTGCTACAGATGCAACATTCTTTTTCACCATCGTTGGGCACAGGTAACACCCCCCCCCCCCCCCCCCCCCCCCCCCCCACCCCCCCCCCCCCCCCCCCCAAAAAAAAAAAACATTGATGTAAAATTACAGAACGCAACAAACTTTCATGAAAATCATAATTGAATAGCCCACATGTGCACCTGATTGGCTGGTACGAAAACATGCCAGCCAATCTCAAGGCTTGTATTATCCTTCTGCGGATCGGTCCATTCATCTTTTTGGCCATTTTGATGTTTGGCCAACAGATCAGCCCAGTATCTCCAAAGGCTTATATTGCTACCAGAATATGCTGAGAATCAAACAAGAGCAACTAGTAAATGGCATCTTGTCTTGGACACTGAAATTCTGGCCGTATTAAGCAGGATGATGGATTGGAAAGAGTAGTAGCAGAAGGTATGGTGTCAGAAAAGAGGGACAGGGCTGATCAGCATGAAGATGGGCACAGGATAATAGTGTACTTTGGGTAGGAAAGGGCACGAGGCAGGAGATTTGACAGTTCACCAGGTCTCTCTCAGGTGGGCTGTGATGAGAGCTATGTTCTGAAAAGAACCTGTTACAAGATGATATGACCAGAATATAAGCTTGAACAGAACCAATATCATTGATACAGATTTATTGGTGTTATACTTTGTGATGTGTCTATATTTTTTAAACTAGGTAACTGAGAGAGGAGTAGATAAGAAATATGACAGAATACTAGGAACTCTCTATGGTCATGTTGTGGGTGATGCAGTCGGCCATCTTACAGAAGGTTTATCTAAAGAGCAAGCTCAGAAGGTCTGTCATCATTGTACTTGTTGTATCCTCGCTGGTGCTATGGAGTTTGTGCACTGCGCTGAGATTCTGCGGACTCAGGCTTGAGTCAGCAGTAGAACGGAGCACTTATGGGTTATACCCTTGTGCCATGATGTTGACCCGTTGTCTAAACCTAAACCTTGCTGTCCTGTTGTGCCATTATCACATAGGGCTCAGTCTGTTATTCATCCATCCCATTATATCCTGTGCAATCCTTTTGATATCATGGATGGAATCCAGCTGAGCACCTTTAGCTTCTCTCACTAATGTTCTTTTAAGGGTTTTTCTTGGACTTTCTCTCATTTGCTCAGTCCATTGTTTCCCCATTTCAGTGCCCATCTAGTGATTCTCTGGTCGTTTCTTCTCAGAATGTCCAGTATAGCACCTTTTCTTAGAAGATATAAAGTTAAAGCTAATTATGACTGACTTGTCCATGTAATATAAAAACTTATATTATTTCATTGTGAACTCCAGGAGTCTTTTTCTTCGCTTTATGTTTTACCGCTTTGGCTGTCGAGGGAGCTAAAAGCTTCTATTTCTTTGTTTTCTCGCTGCCTTGATCATAGACACTTTGTGCTGTTGTAGAGTTTCTCTGATAATTTTACATCTTGCTCGTGGTCCATCTTGTGCTCTATGTCCTCCTCTTTTCGTTTATGCCTGATATGATATTACATCACAAGGCATTATCTTTAAGTGTGCAAATTATTTTATTTGCTATATTTATATGTAATTTAGAATTTGTTCTATACCTACTTGCAGCGTCTGTGGCTTAGGCGCTGCGAGTCCGACTCATAATCCAACATACTGCGATCGAAACCCACTGCTGGCTGCATGGATTTTTATCATGATATAGGGCGTCGCAGCCTAAAACGGGTACCAGGATGGGCTGTCCTGGGGAAGTAAAGACGGCCAGCGTAATGTTGACCACATTACCCATCCAGTGCCGATTGGTCTGTAAAAATATGGGACGCTCTTCCCATATACATAATGCGCCTATGGCGTGAAAAGGGATCTGTACCTACTTGTTCTCTTGTGACCTCATCCCTGATTTTATTGTCACGGGCCAGTAGCCTGAACCCCAACATAGACAGATAATTAATACAAGACAACTGACAATGATTCACGGACCACTTACGGGGCCTGCTTGGGCCACCACTTAAATAGCCCCGCTATATATGTCACAACATGTTTTGGTTGCATTTCTCCTCAGTGTAAGCCACGCGAGCCAGCAATAATCATAGACACATCAGTATGTTTTTCTTGAGACATTAACGCGGTTAAACCTTGTTAACATGATCTCACTTAAGAAGAACTACTCAGTTAACATGAAAAAAGTTTCAGTTCCATCACAGATATGTTATTGTTATTAGTCCCCAGTTAGCAAGAAATTTTTTTTTACATTTTACTGTATATCATCATCATCATCTTCTTCGTTTTCAAATTCACTGGCTGTAAACTGCGGCGAAAAGTTCTGGTTGTTCGTCCACTTCTGGACTTAGTCTCGCTCCAGAACTTGAGTTTTGCATGCACATCTGTTTTACAGATCTGGCTCATTTGTATGCTTCACATCGTTTTTATCAGTCCATTCACATCATTCATCTATAAAATCACATCTTTGTCACTCGCAAATAATTGTTAACTAATCAACCATCTGTCCATGATTCACTTTCTTATATCAGGATACAATTTATATAGTTAACCTTGGTTACTGATTATGCTTACATGCACGTGCACATGTTAAATGGACTCTGACCTGTCATTTCTGTTAGGCGTATGGTTCGGTGAGTAAACAGCTGGAACTAGTTCACAAGAAGTTAGTTCAGGACACCACCCGCAAAAAATGGGCATTATGTGACTGGACTGAAGAATCAGATATGATGCTTATTGTTCTGGAGTCACTGATTTATCGGAAAGGAAAGGTTAGTTTTTGATAGGTAAAGAGTGTTTTATATTTATAATAACTTAATGAGACCCTTTTTGTGTGTGCCAGTGTGACATAACATTGCTGTGGAGCTAAGCCAGTATGTTCTTGGAGGTATGACTGAGGGCAAGACTATGCTCTGGGACTCCTCACTGTCGGCAAAACCCAGCTAGAAAGACTGGACAAAATTAGGCGCCACAAGACTCATAATTAACTGCACAAAAGGCGCATGCTACAGAAAAAATGCAACAAGGACTATACACTCTGAATGGGTGGAAAGCATTAAGAAATAGTGCTTGACCTCTGTCACCTGGATCTTTATGTCTGGGCTTCCCAGCATTAAATATAATAAACAAGCAGACCAACTGATAAGCAGTGCACAGATGCATGGACAAAGCAGATATCAACACTGTATGGACTCGGTTAGTGGATAATGATGAATCTGACATGATTGTGTGACATGGGAGTAAATTGTGGTGAAGTACGTCTATGCCGCCTTCAGGCTGAGATAAGAGACATTATAACCAGCTCATGGCAAAAATCAGTACAGGTACCTTGGAGAGGCTGCTGCATCGGAGGACTTAGCACCTATTGGAATGCCTGATGTGCAGTGACGTTAATTGTGATAACATAACAGTAACATGAATATATGATGCTTGATAAATAATGAGCTCAGCATTATGCAGATCGTCTTACCTGCAGTACATCATCTGATAACTGTTCTGTGAGTTTAGTTGACCCCAGAGCTATATGGTCATGAAGAATTGATTCCTCGAAGATTTAAATCCTTGAACACCAGTTTGATATTCAAGTACACTGACCACTACTTTACCATTTTCCTTTAATGGTTTTGTTGTTTTACTTTGGAGGGGTACTTGAAATTTATGTTGTGGTAAAAATATGGAACAGTCTTCAATCAAGCTGATACATTTAAGTACTTGGGAAACCTGATAACATCATAAGGAAGATGTATTAAATGTTAATGAAGTTAAATATAGAATAGCTCAAGCGAAGGCAGCATTTTACAGAATGCTTTTTTCAGTTGAGACCAGAAAGAGAATTCTGAAAAGCTGTATAAATCCTATCCTGATGTATGGAAGTGAATCATGGACAGTTAGCTGATTAGTAAAAAAAATAAAAATAAATTGGGAAGTGGCAAAGATGTGATTTTATAGATGAATGATGAGAATACCCTGGACAGATGAAAAGAGTATAATGAAGATGTCTTGAAAGAAACTGACTCACAAAGAAAACTGATTGCCCACATCAGAAGGGGATAATCTTTATTTTTTAATCGTGTCCTGAGAAGGATAAAACTGGAGTACATCATGAGTGTGGGAAAATTAGAGGGGAAAAGAGGCAGAGAGAGAAGGTGCTGGACAGTTTAACACCATAGCATGGAAGATCATCTGTGTCAGAATGAATGTTGAATGTTAAATTAAGAATCAACATCATAGCACTCAGGACACTCCCATAAGCGCTCTGTCCCTGTCTTTAGCAGCAAACAAAGAGTTCCAATTCCGATGGCACCAGTAACTCTGATTGTATATCCGTCTAGCCTCTCCCTTGAGTGTTAAGCATTGGCCAGATCCCCTGGCAACTCCTCCCAGGAGTTCTATGTCAGAACTGTTTGACAGTACAAGAGACAGAAGGCTGTGGATAGAAATGACTATCAACACCATTGAAATGGATTATTAAAAAAAAGAAATATATGTTCTTCAATAAAATAATGTGTGTGGCTATTCTATATGCTACAGGTGTATTGTTTTGGTACTTAGAGCTAACTTGAATATTTTCAAGTACAAGAACATTCCTGTGCTGAGGTTATTGTCTGAACTGTTTGGTGCTACATAAGTCGGGTTGATTAGTTAGTTCCTTCTTAAGTGATCAGCTGGTCACATGTTGAACAATAACTAACTTATAATTGTCACAAGTTACTTATCTGACAGCTTACCAGACATTTACTGGTGACTTGTTTTTATACACACACATGCACACACACACACACACACACACACACACACACACACATATATATATATATATATATACATACATATGTATGTATATAATATATTATTATATTGTGGCTGTTCCAGATCGATTTGAGGGATCTGGCCAAACGTTTCATGGACTGGTGTGAAAGAGGCTTCCAAGAATTGAATGATGTTTGTGGACAGGGTTTGGACTCTTACACTAAATCTGTCATAGCGCATGCCCAGTTCTCAGAAGCACCTAAAGATGTAAGACTCAACTGTAAACTGATATGGTTTTACACTTGTTCTTTATCCTAATTTCATTGGATGCCTTCCCTGTGTGGGTTCTGGGGAACATTGTGGGAAAGGTGGGGGGGGGGGGGGGGGGAATAGACGCACTCCTACCTAATCAACTTTTAAGACATGCTTGTTAGAAGGAAAAAAATGGGGGGGGGGGGCCTCCCGCAACAACCATGTCGTAAAAGTTGATTAGTTATGGATGTTGCCTTCTTCTTCTTCTTCTTCTTTGTTCACTGGCTGTAAGCTCCAGCAGAAAGTCTTGGTTGTTTGTCCATGTGGTGCCATTGGCACATGGATGTCAGGTGTGATGTAACCAATATTTGATGTTAAAAAGAATAACAGGTACTGCCGCCTACTGTTGATCAGTAGCTCAGTCCTATCTAACCAGGACCTGTTGCAACTGTTATATACTTGTGTGAAATGCATTTCTGGTGAAGTGTTTTGCTGTAAAAAATGTATTTCATTAACTTTGTCTTCAATTGTGACTGTCTCACCTAAAATATTCGTAGTTATATCTTTTAACTTCTATTTATTAGTTATAAATCCAAGGCATGCAGAAATATGTAACCATGACATAATAGTATTGGTGGTTTTACAAAAGATTTGACATATAAATGTTACATTTGTGAATATTTTAGGCTGCTGTGATTTGCTGGAGAAATGGGCTACATCAGATGGCAGCTGGGAATGCAGCAGTTGCCCGTACATCTGTGCTGGGAGTGCATATGCATCATTCACATGCTAAAGTCATTCACAACACCACAGAGTTATGTGCTCTCACACATCCTGATCCACAGTGAGTCACGCTGATAGCTGGCAACAGCAGGTATCCCTGCTTGTATGAGAAACGTGGTCAAAGGCATCTGGGTGTCATGGAGTGAGAATTTGTGTGACTGGAAAGAACCTAAACCAGAAATGGTGTTCTAGACCATATTGTTTTTCTTTACTTGCTGCTTCTGTTCTTTTACCACTTTGGGTGTTGGGAAGATCTAATATTCTGCTTCTATCTCTTCAGGCCACCTCAACCATAGACACATCATGCTGTTGTAGAGTTTCTCTGATGTTATCTTTCCATCTTGTTCTTAGTATGCCTTCTGCTCTATGTCCTTCTCATTTTTGTGTGTATGCCTAGTATGGTATGGATTCACAAGGCATTCTAAGTTTGCAAACCATTTGACCAAAATGTTGGCTGTAGTGTATGTGTGTGTGTATTTGTAGATATGATTCTAACATTGCAGTTTCCCTGGTAAAACAGGCAGTTGCTTTTAGTGTGGTTGAATTTGTACTTCATTTATAAAGGACTCACTTATTTGCTTCATTTATGTAATCGTTACAGTAGTATGCACCTGACAAGATACAGTGAAATATGGCAGGCAAAAAATTGTGCAATTTATTGTTTGTGTCTTCTTTGTTCAGATGGAGTATATTTAACACTTGCATTTTATTTATTACCTCTTGAGCAGTTCACATCTTTCCCCCTTTTAAAGTCATCATGTACATTTGAGAAATATATTTTTCTGTTGTTGTTTCGGTCCAGTGGCACTTGGGCACTTGTCCTTGGCACAGTGTAGTATAATGATACCTCATCCACCACACAGCTACAAGGAAACCAAAACAGCGCTAAAGCAGTCTTTCAAGCGGTATTGGAGAAGGCAGAATGGAGATTACATACCAGAGAGTGACAGCATAAACAAACTCAACAGGAAAGAACAAACATCAATTTTTAGAATCTGCTGCCTGTGATTGTGGAGCAGAAAGACAGACCTCTGGGCACATACTGCAGTACTGCCCTTACCTCTCCCAGCAAAGATTGTGGATCTGGCCCAAGGGAGCCACATTGCAAGAGAAGCTATGGGAGACCGGTGGCGACCTTAAACGCACAATCCTATTTGTGACCCAGATGGGACTCAATGTTTAGCATGACTGATGTCGAACGCAGAAGAAGAAGAAGTATAATGATACTTGCAAGTGTTTATAAGCTGTTATGTTGTTCTTTTAATTTTTCAAAGAGATAATTTGCAACAGTGGTAGTGGTACATAACGGTATATTTTATTAGTCAGTAAAAATATGTATTGCATTGTGAGATTTCAGTGGGAAAATGACTATAATTAGAATCTCAATTTGAGTTTTGTGGTCCCATTCTGGAGGGAAAAAAAGAATAGACTTATCCCCTTCCCCCCAAAGCATGTCCTACAAACAGTAGTGTGATCAGTAGAGTTCCTTCGAAGTGGGATTGCATCTGCCTGAGAGGCGAGGAACCAACTGATTACAAATAAGCCAGATCTGTAAAATGGATATGCACGCGAAACTGGAACAAGACTAAAGTTAAAAAATGGATGAACAGCCAGAACTTTCAGCCAGGGTTTACAGCTGGTCAACACTAAGAAGAAAAAGATAGCTGCTTGATTGCAGTCACTTCCATTAAAGTCAAAACTTTTAACTTTTAGACTGACTAGTCTAATGATGATCATTTTGATGTAAAATACAGACATATTCACACAAACTTGTAAAGAAATTGTTTTCAGGTGTCAGGCCTCATGTGTTGCAGTGACAAGAGCAATATCTTTGATGTAAAATACACGGACGTATTCCTACAAACTTGTAATGAAATTGTTTTCAGATGTCAGGCCTCATGTGTTGCAGTGACAAGAGCAATATCTTTGATGTAAAATACACGGACATATTCACACAAACTTGTAATGAAATTGTTTTCAGATGTCAGGCCTCATGTGTTGCAGTGACAACAGCAATATCTTTGATGTAAAATACACGGACGTATTCACACAAACTTGTAATGAAATTGTTTTCAGATGTCAGGCCTCATGTGTTGCAGTGACAACAGCAATATCTTTGATGATGCAGAAGAAACATCTCAAGAAAAATGGTCAGGTGGATGTGGATGAGATTATAAATGAGAGTTACAGTTATGCATCGTACTGTCTTGTGGGAAGGCCTGTGCAAGAAGTAAGGGTAGAGTATATATGACAACATGTGAGTTTCTGCTTGCTGGGGAATAGCTTTTATTCATCATCATCATGTGCCCTGCCAACTGGCGTAAGCGCTCATGCATCACCACAGATCACGATCCCTGGTTGCCTGGAACAGCTCCCTTGATGATATTCCTCCATGCCATCGTTTCAGCCCATCCAGCATCATCTCTCTTGGTCTGCTTCTACCCCCTTTTCCACTGATCTTTCCAGTTGTCACGATGTTCTCCAATGTCTTTCTTCTCATTATGTGGCCAAAGAACAGTGTTTGTCTCTTTCTTATTGTTGTTTATAGAGACCTTCTTTCATTAGTTTCTTTCAAGCAATCGTTGTTAACTACTCTGGCCGTCCAAGATATTCGTAACATTTGTCTCAGAAACCACATCTCTGTTGCTTCCAAATTCTTCCTAATTTGTTCACTGACATTCCAAGATTCGCTGCCATACAGCAGAACAGTTTCTATGTAACATTTTAGTACCCTTTTTTGCTGTTATTATTTACAATGATAGTATGTTGATAAAAATGGACAACTATAAATTAGCTTCTTATCATTCGCTGGTTGTAAACTCCAGCAGAAAGTTATGGTTATTTGTCAACTTCTGGACTTTGATCTTGTTCTAGAACTAGAGTTTTGCGTGCATATCCGCATTACAAATGTGGCTTATCTGTATGCAGATTGTTGGTTTCTTGCCTCTCATACAGTTGCACTCCAACTTTGGAGGGAACACTCCTGATTAGTGGCTTTTTACGACAGGCTTGTGGGGGGGGGGGGGGGGGGGGGGGGGGGGGGGGCAGTGAGTCTGATCTTTTCTCCCCCAAAATCGGGCACCAAAACACACATGGAGAAAATGTTCAGGTAATCTACTGGCTATTATCTAACTATGTGCTTTTCCACTTTTTTGTTTTTTGCTTTCTCAATTTGATCTTTTTGTCAGCATCGTTTCATATTACTTCTACTTATTTGTCAGTATTCTTTCACCTAGCTCTACTGTTTTTTCAACTTTCTCATTTATATTCTTTTTTTTTCTTCAAATATTATTTTTATATCATTCGCACTGGTTTTTCAAGTTTGCTATTTGATATATTGCCTGCTATATTTCACTATTTCATCTGACGCTTAGTAAAGAATTGACAAATGCTCGAGGGAAATGTTGAAAATTAAATAGGATGGATTCAAGAGGGGCGGAGAAATAAGATAAATGTCTAGACAACTACTGATAAACAATAAGTATAAAGCAAAGAAGATGACACTATGTTAGACACACCCTGACGCGAAATGAGCAGAGAATCACCAAGCAGGCCCTAAAGTGGGAAATAAAAGAATTGAGAAAGCATGGATGTCCAAAAGAAACTGAACCGAATGCTGATGAGGGAGGCCAAAGGTGCTGGACTAGATTCCATCCATAATGTCAAAAGAATTGCACAGGATAGAAAAGAATGGAGCAGTAGACGAGCCCAATGTGACATATAACTGCACAACAGCAATAGCACAAGCATATCAATGGCAGTGATACTTAAGAATTTACATCAGCACGTAATGAAACCACAATTAATCCTTGTGACTGAAATACACAAATCACTTGTCCTTTGTTGTACTGTTCATAGCACCATGAACAGTCTTAATCCCATCGTCCAGAAACCATAACCAGCAATCCTGCTCTGAGATTTTGCATTAAATAATCTATCCAGTCAACTTTTTCCATGTTTTCCTGAAGATAAGACTAGGTCTTATATTAATTTGTTTACTGGAGGTATGAGAAGCACACCAATTCATGAGCTGAAGGCAACTTCTTGCCACCAGAGCTGGAGGCAACTTCTTGCCACCAGAGCTGGAGGCAACTTCTTGCCACCAGAGCTGGAGGCAACTTCTTGCCTCCAGAGCTTGAGCCTTCGAAGAGAAGAAAAGATGCTAACCCTAACAGAAAAATGTAAACGCGTGAACAACCCCATGCACAGAATAGCAAATAATAACCTAACTATAAACCGACTGAAAAGACAAAGCTTTCACCATCTATCAAAATTGTACTACACAAAAAAGCAGTGACATTCTTTATAAAGATCCTTCAACATGGGAAATGATCCAGGCATACAGCATAGACCTACAGCCTAACTGTACAATCACAACAACAATCTCAGGCATAGACAGAAAGGCTGAAGAATGTGACCTAGTATTGCATGCAAAGACCCTTGAACATGTCGACAACTGTTATCCAAAATCCGAATGGACACACGTATACACCAATGGATCATTGAAGGGAGCAGAAAAAAACGGAGAAGCTGGATCGGTCATCATGCTGCAAGATGGCACCACAGAAAAAACATCATGAACCTCTGGAAAACTCTCAACAAACTTCGGAGCAGAGCAGCAAGCAATTATTGATTCAGCCAAAGTGCTTGAGAAAAGAAAATTAAAAACAGCAAAATTGTTTTCTTTTGTGACTGCATGTCAGTGCTCCAGGCGACTCAAACTGGTTCACCAGATAAAATGGAGAGAGAGAGAGATAGAACTGACCTGCCAGCTAAACAGACTCGCAGAAAACAATCAGATCATTCTTCAGTGGATCCCGGCTCACTGCGGCATACCAGGAAATGAGTTAGCAGAACAAACTTGCAAAAAATGGAACAAAGGAGAAACAACACACCCATTCATTGTCATTACCAGAAATCAGAACACCTATCAAGAGAAAATACAAGGAATCGTGGAGAGAAGAAACTAACAGTAAACACCGACAAGATCCCGTCAGCAAACTCAGCAAAAAGCTACATACAACAATTTTTCGTCTACAGACAGGACACCGCAGGCTCAACTACCACATGCATAAAATAAAAATTGTAGTCTCCATGGTGTGCCTGTCAAACAGGACCACAAACACCTGAGCACATTCTGCAGACCTGCCCACTCTATCTACAACTTTGAAATGACACCTGGCCTCAAGAGCAAAGTGCGCAGAGCAAGCTATGGGGAACCATGAAGGACCTGCTGCTGACAAGCGAGTTCATAGAGGCAACCCATCTGATGGTCTGATCTGATCATACAAAACCAAACGCAAAGAAGAAGAATATTAATTTTGGTTTGAAAAAATGCATTAGAGCTTATTTTCAGGGAAAGTCTTTTTTTTTTTAACTACAAAAATCTACATTTGTTTGCGTACAAAATTCAGTGTTTATTCAAATACAGGCATGTCATCTTCTTGTGGATCATTGTTGTAATTATCAAATCTGCTTCTTTATTCCACACAAATGACATACCTTGAATTATAAACCACATCCGTTTATTATCTAATGCATCAGTGGCGTCTGTACTCCGAGGGTTCACTCGGCGAAAGGTCTCATTCTGGCTAGCTATCTTAACTATGAATAATTTTTGGGATAGGACTTATATTAAAGTATCCTGAAAATTGTGCTAGGGAGTATTTTTGTGGTAAGTTTTATTTTCGGGAAAACACTATTCTTCTTCTTTGATCACCGGCTGTAAGCTCCAACAAAAATCCTGATTGTTTGTTAATTTGGACTTTGGCTTTGTGCCAGGCCTGAGTTTTGTGTGTACATCCATTTTACTGGCTTATTTGTGTGCATTTGGTTGTTGCTTGCTGTTCAGGCAGATGCACTCTTACTTTGAAAGAGGCCCCAATTAGTCGACTCCTACAGCCTGCTTGATGGGGAGGCAGTGGGTCTGTTCTTGTTTTCACCACAATTGGGTCCTGGAACCCACACGGGAAAACACAGTATATTACTCCTACGGCTTTGTCAATATAATTTTTACAAAGTTTTTTTTGACCAAACAGCAAGTGTTATATGTAAGTGACTGGATGAATTATTTAAATGTGCATGCTATTGTTCATGTTCGCAGTATTTAAATTCACAGTGGGACTTGTTTTGAATTTCTAAAAACTGTTCAACCCATGTGCAACCCATAAAGTTTTGGAGGGTGACATTTCAATAATATTAATATAGTTTTGTCAAATTATTTTTCATAATACACTTACTGTTTTGTCAATATTTTTTTTCTTCTGGACTTTGATCTTGTTCTACAGCGTTCACTGGCTGTAAACTCCAGAGGAAAGTTCTGGCTGTTCATCCACCTTTGGACTTTAAGTCTAGTTCCAAAATCTGAGTGCTTCATGCACATCCGTTTTACAGATCTGGCTTTTTTTGTATGCAGACTGTTGGTTCCTTACCTCTTAGGCAGATGCACGCTGACTTTGAAGAAAGCTCCTAATTAGTAATCTCTTACGATGTGGTTGTTGGGGAGGCAGTGAATCTATTCTTGTTTTTTCCCGCAATGGGGCCCTGGAACCCACACAGGGAATATTCTTTTTATATTACTGATTTCTAATTCTGCTGCTAAATTATTGTAACTATGTTTGTGCTTATCTTTCATTGCTCATTAAAATGAATTCTTGTGATGTTTACTTGATTGCATCCTGTCCACTGTTTATTTAACTATAGCAAAAGAAACACAGAAATGTGTCTGCTAACTCAGGCTGCTTTGATTAAATATTCTTGCTCACAATACTATAAACTTCACATCTTCTTTCTTAATAGTTCAAATCACTGAAACAGCACATGACAGCAACAGCCCTCAAGGATCTGAAGCTGAGTGACATCAGTCAGATGTCCTTCACTTACAAGGCTTTAGGTGCTGGCTTCTGGGCTCTGAAACAGAAAGACTACAGGACAGCTATTCAGGACATAGTGATGCAAGTAAAGATACAGTGTTGTTGCTCCATCTTTGCTGTGTTTAACACTAGATATTTTTATTGTCTCTCATTTGTCACAAATTAGGACAGGAAATTCTGTAAAATTTAGCTGAGAAGTGAAATCCAGCGACGCCGCAAACAAAATTATATACAAGTTTTAAATGTAGATGTGAATTTTTTGAGAATTAATTTTGAGCAGAAACATGTTAACAGAAATGTATAAGAAAAAGGCAGTTGCGAGTTTATTTCTGAAGCAATAGTTTTGGAAAGTTTAATTTGTCTCTGTTTATTTTTGAGTTTTCTTCATGAAATTGATGTCATCACAGAAAATTACAGCTGGAGTTTAATGAAGGCTTTCGTGTGTGTACATGTGAGAGTGAGAGAGTGTGTTAATGGGAAGTGTTTGTGAGGGTTGGTGGATGAGTGTACTTGTTGAGGAGTATAAATTTATAGGTGTTTTCATTGAGAGAAAACTATACACACAAAGTACAGGTCTTATGATGTCGGCAGTAGCAAATACTGTACTTATAAAATAGTCATTTGTGTTGTTCAGAATAATTATTTGCCAGATGTGTATTTATGCTTTCTACAGAGTTTTGTAAAAATTAATAAATTGTTTTATTATTAATAGTTTCTTAGATACTTTAAAAAAACAAAACAATTTTAGTTAAATGAAAAATAGAAGTCATTAGATTGACGGACTGTCTAAAACTGAATAGTGGTAAGAACTGTTCATTGTGGTTGATACACGTAATTCACAGTAAGAATTATTTGTTGTTTTTCTTGTTCATTGTTGTGCCTGTTTACAGCTGGCTGTGATATTTGCACTTTCAGCTGACACATCTGACTTTATCTGGCATTTGTTTACTGGGTTAGCCTTCCCGGTCGGTTTCATGGGACAGGACAGCCTTAGTTGTGTGGTAACATCTACGGATGTTGCCCATGGAGAACCCATCCAGGGTAATCGTATATAGCTTGGTTGGCCCTCAGTCCATCCATACGTTTATGAAAAATACAACAAAAAATCCACCACATTCAACTTACTGTGAGCGATATCAGTTGTAATTGTGGTCTGATTTCTTAGTACCAATTATGTTGGCTAAGAAATGTTAACTTACTTACTTAGTTGCTCTTCTACCTTGGGGTTTGCCAGGGAGATCACCAGACGTCTCTATCAGCAGTTTTCTTCCTGAGAAGAAATGTTAATTGCACCAAAACTACTGGCTTGGACTGATATTGTAGTACCTAGTGATGGTTGTTGGGGAGGGGGCTGATATGCATTATACACCAGGGGTAGAACATGAGCATTCTTCACCATTCACGGAGACTTCTATAAATTCAGAGCTGACCCATGACACTCTGGTCCTAGGCTCACCCAAGGAAACCTGCACATCTGTATGCTGAGCAATTTTTGTCTTTGATGCACATAAGTAGGTAAAGTTTACATATCCTTATGGTAACACAGTTGTACGGTCTATATAATCATTTTGGCAGGGTGGTGATGCTGATGCTAATGCTGCAGTAGCTGGTGCTATGTTAGGCTGCAAACTTGGTTATTCAGCACTTCCAGCATCTTGGTTGGAAGGTCTGTGCAACAAGGGCTGGCTTGATGACCTAATCAATAGGTTTGTACACAATCTCAGTTGTTGGTATTTGTGTGTAATGATTTGAACAAAGTATATTTACTTCATATTAATGACTGCAAACTTCTAATACCAGGCTCCATGCTGATTATTTGCATGCTCAACATCTGAAAGACTAGTGTCTAGTAGCATGTGTTTCTTGCTATAGACTGATTGGATCATCAAGAGATGTCTTTGAAAGGCACACACCATTCAGTAGGGCAGTTTTCATTGCTGGCTTTCAGTCAAAACTTTAGAGGGTTCAGTCTGGATAATGCTGGCCTGAATGGTTGAGGCAGAGAGACATCTCACCTACAAGGGTAGAAGTGGCTGTGCTGTCCAGCCAGTGGTGTGCATGTAGAAATAAAATGGCCATTTGGCTGGCCTTCTGAGCAAACACTGAAGATGAGAAGAGATGTGATGCATTCTATAAAGGATGACTTTTGTCTTCAAGAAACTTCATGTCAGTGACTTCATGAAGCTATGACTGCTAGAGCAGGAATCCACTTCACCAACAGGTAGCATCAAGGTAGAGGATACAGAAGTTATTTGTGTTACTAACCGATCACAGGAACTATAAGTCTCCAGAATCTTCCATCTCTTGAGGGAGATGGAGAACACTTAGGCAGTACTATATTTCTGAAGGACCCAAACAAGGGAAATCCAGAAAACCCCAGTCCAGTCCACTATTCTAGGGGTGTTATGACATGATTTCATTCTGTGTTCACACAAAGTGCAGAAAAGTGTGCTTGTGCACCAGGCAGAAAACCTGGAAATTTCTTCACAAACTGCTGTGCAACTGTTACAAGTGTGTGCTGCTGATGTAATATTCTGTGTGCGTGTGCAAGTTGTAACTATGTGAAATCATCAAGGAGGATGAAAATTGGGGATAAATTAAAAGGAAAACCTTAGGAAAAGGACAAACCACCGATGACAGTCTCCATGTATGTATACTGCTTGGTTACCCACGAGTTGTTGGCATTCATACAGTTTTACATGGTTAGTAGATCTGGAGATTTCTCTAACGCAGCTGACTGACTGACTGCAGGCACCGACCGACTATTATTGTTGCGGAGGCCAGAATAGAACAACGTGGTTAGCATTCTGCCTCTTGTTTCTCTCCTTTGCCATCCATTCTCCACAAGCACTCAATGCGTAGCGTATGTGCACCTATAAGGGGTTTGTTGACTTTGAGGTGTGTCAGTCCGGGAATATTGTCAATTCTGTTGTACAAACGCACGCCCCAGATCAGGGACTACCATTGTTCCAGGCTGAATGTATGTGCTTATAATCGGTTACAGGCGCATTTCTGCTGTTCTGTCTGGAACACAGAATATGAATCACCCGCCAGTCTCACGACAGATACCACCACCAAATACCCACTGTTGTGTGAAAACTCGTCCACCTGAATTTTGCCCCTTGTGAACAGCTGTCATCAGTCTTCACAGTAGTATTGAGTCCTCTAATCACTGCAGGAGTGACTACAAAAATACACATGAGAATGATGATGTAAAACAAAAAACACACATACATTGAGAATGGTGAAGTCACAAACACTGTGTTTTTATAGAGTTATTCAACATGCTTGTTTAGGCCATTGAGTATTCAAATTCTAGTCTCATTGAGTTTTGAGCACTCAAAGAGATGATGTTCAAGTTTCGTAGGGGTAGTTACATAGCTGGCATTATGAGTAGTGTTGTGGCTGTATTCTGTTAAGATGTCCATTGAGTGGAGTATGTTGTGTTCTCAGTCTGGAGATGGTGGCCTGGTCCCTCCTTGCTAGAGGGTTGATGCTGTTGTTAGGGTCAGGACCAGCCATATGTCTGTAAACCTCTCTTACAGTATCTCACACGGCCCAACTGTTGAGCCATATCTCTTTGTTTAAAACTTATAGGTGCTTTTGCTGTCTGCAGGTTGCTGCTGTGGGTGGTTGTTCTTGTGTTTCTCCTTTCTTTGCCAATTTGCCAGCTCTGTAATTACCTAGTGTGCCGTCTTGGCCTGGAATCCACTGCATCACTATTCTGATGTTGTATAAGGTAATGGGCTGATTAGCATCCCGAATTATCTTGGCTATGTTAGTTCTGAAACGTTCACTGCCCTTTAGAACTTGTAGAGCGGACATTGAATCGGTGAAGACGACAATATTTTGGGCCTTTGAAGGATAAACATCCATTACAGTCTTTAGATGGTATATCGCTGTTTCCAGTGCAATAATTTGTGTATAAATATAACTGAATCAGAATTACTGTGCCAGCTCTCAGTGGTTGAGAGCCACTAGACAACTAGGATAAATGGAACCTTGTTTGTGCATAGTTTACCAATGACTTACAACCAGCAGCATGACGATGGAGGTGATGGCAGTGACGCAAGCGTTTGCCTGGCTTGAAACACAAAAATACACCTACCTGTGTATGTATACTCAGTGATTCAATGAGTATGATCCGGAGGGTTCAGGCAGGTTCAGTGCGAAGACAGTGGCTTGAATCATTACAGAAGTCCACTGTGCGTGGAGTCACCTTTATTTTTGTTCCGGGAGACGCAGGCGTCAATGGAAATGAAAGAGCTGACAGGTTGGCTGGATCCGCTATCACTTTCGACGTTCAGCCTATGGATCATGCTGATATTGTCAATGCCCTCAGAGAAATGGGAAGGATAGAGGTCTTTGGTGGCAGTGAAACCACATCACTCGCCAGAATGGCAGACTTGGGAATTAAGATCGGCATAGCAAAAAATGAGACGCACACCAGACACGCCAGAAGACTTGTTAATCAACATAGAACTGGTACTATTAGCCATCGGACATTGGGGTTCATACTGAGGGGAGGATCTGAGCACCTATGGACATGTCCGTAGTGCAATGACAATAACCCAACTAACTAACTAACTAACTAATTACCAATGACTTGTAAACATAATTTGTTTTTTTGCAAATCCAGATATTTACATATGATGGAACAAAAGCAACCCCTACAGTAAGCAACTTTACATGTAAGGTAATTCCTATGTGGTGGCTTGTTTTATCTATCAGTGTGTGTGTGTTGACTTTTTATCTTAGTGTCTCCACCCTCACAATCATAACATTTGCCAGTTATTGACTTATGCAGAATTCATCATTATCATGGAAACTGATGTGGGGCCTGTGCTAAAAATTTGATTTGGTAACTATTCTTATAAATATTTATGGAGCGAACACAGTTGTTGAATGGCAAAATAGGTCTGTTGCTTAGCCTATGAAGCTCAAATAAAGTGAAGAGGTTCAAGAAAAAAACTTAACAGCGATTGTTGAGAGAGGCTAGAGGTGCTGAACTGGAATCCAGTATTGACTTATACTGCACTCATCATTATCCTGGAAACAAATCACTGTAGACAAGTCAGAACAGTGATATTTGCAGGGAATTGGACCTGAATGGAAGGGTCGGTTTTGATGCTTCTCCTGGTGAAAAAGTTAAAGGCTATCTTGCAAGCTATTTGGCAAAGACAAATTTTATATAAATTGTTAACAAATTTTGTAGTGACCGGTGTAAAATTGTTTGTCTCTCTCCCCCCCCCCCCCCCCCCCCCCCCCACCCCCACCCCCAATCCCCAGTTCAATTTTTTGTTGTTGTAAAGTGTTCTGATTCTTTTGTTTTTAAAGTCTCCAGCATGTGAATCCAAAGAAGAAACAAACAGTAGTACTGTTGGTCACAAGAAGTAGAAAATGACAATTTTGATAAAATGAGTAAATGTAACAACTATCTGTGTTAGAAGAGAGTCAGAAATGTGTACTGTCTTTGGACAATGATGAGATGCATGGTACCAAAATAGTTAATACTTCTTTCATATCTAGTCAAAATCCATTCTGTCACTTGTGACTGTGTTCTTGTAAAGTTTGACAAGTCCCACTTTCCAATTTTTATAAACTCATTGTTTAAACTAAGGGCAAGATGTTAGCCGTTCTGTTGTGAGAAAGAGAAGTTCCTTAAAAACAGCTTATGTTGCCATAAAAGGTGAACATTCAGTATTTTCAACTTATAATGGACTGGATTAACTATATCATTAACAAACAAGCCTACTGCTCAACATCCAGTGGTCATGGTTCTTTGAATAACATTTTCTACAATGCCAGTAAAAACTGTGGTAGCACAATAGTCGATGTACTTGCTTGCCGAGAATAAATCCTGTTTTCTACAACATTACTTTTTTTCTCTTTCTATAGGTGCCTGGTCTGAATCATACACTGGCAGCCTTTTCATGTGGGCTCATAAATTACTGTATGAAAAATCACAGTGCCACTATGGGTTGTGAACAACAGCAATAGACTTCATGGTTCTTGTAAGAAGAGAGAAGAGCTGACCAAAATGGTAGTGAGTATGAACAACAGTGTAAAAATCTGATGGAGCTGTCATTTGGGTCTTTAAGCCCGGTGGTAATATTATACAGCAGACGTGCTACATGAGGGTTTGAATTGCAAATGTCCATTCCCCTGACCAAGTCCTTCCGAGGTTGATACTTGCGTTTGTGATCAGTGTTTCTTTGCAGGATCTCAAGATACTTTTCCCTGTCATTTGATTTATCTGTATCCGGCTTCAGACACGTGAAGATCTAGTCACAAAAAACATGGAGGTCTGTTGTTGAAAATTAAAAGGAAAAGAAGAGAGCTTACTTATTTGATCCTCTTCTAACTTGTGGTGTAGAGGTTTGCCAGAGAGATCATCAGACTTCTATCAGCAATTTTCTTGTTGGCTTCGTTGAAAAGAAAAGAGCATGGATGGTAACCTCTGTTGCAGTAATATTTCTCCCCCCCCCCCCCCCCCATTCCATTTCTCCCACCCCTGCATTGCTTTACCTAAGCAGAATAAATTGCAGGTGCACAGTGCATCCTCTGGGCTAAGTAAATCTTGTGTTTTTACCTAAACCACATGTACATTTATTGCATGTGATATAAAAATATGTTGATGATGTAATTCAGTTAAATTGTAGCACTCATACGGCGTTGCTTTTATTTTATTGTTAATTTAATGCTTTTTGAATTGGCAGATTTTGACAGAAATTTTGATATGTAGTATTTTCGCAGGGTTAGTATGCTGCCTTAAGATTATGGAAATGTTTTGGATGATCACAGATTGAAACAAGTATAGTATGTTGAGATCCTGCGATGAAACAACAAACACAAACATGTTTACTACATGTAACAAATAGACTAGGTTAGCTGGGCAAGAATAACAGTACCATTAGCTGTGATGTCTAGCGTATGAGCTTGCATTTGTTGTCAGTTGTTAGAGCATGCCATTTGCAGGAAGAAAAAGTGTTATAATTCTATGTAGATGCTGTGTTAAATGCATGCAAGACATTGACAATAGTCAGACAAATTAAAAAACATTTACTTGCAGTAGAGTTGTGATTTCTGAGAAGAATGCAAAGAATATTATGGAATGATAAAAAACTCAAATGAGGCAGTCCTCCTTGAGACAGATCAAAGTCGTTAACTGATTAGAAAAATTAGTAGATGAACAGCGTTTTGTAGATATATTACAAGAACTTCTATATATGTGAGAACTGGCAAGATTTATGGACAGAAAACGGGAAGGCAGATAAATACCTCCTGGATGGCTTAGCAATATAAATGGAGTGGGTCATGAACACTGACCTAAACTGTGATTCTAGTGATCATTTGAGAGGGCGAAACATGACAGCCTATGGTTATCAGCCCAACACATGATGATGATGATAGTTTGTTGTTTCTGCTGGTTCTCAAACACCGTTATCTCAACAGCTGCTGCATATATTGGCGTTTGCAGTTAGCGAAGATAAAAATAGACCTGCCATAATTTGTTGCTCTCTGTATACATCATTATCATGTGCCCTGCTGATTAGCATAAAAGGGTCAGTGTTCACGATCACCAGAATCAAGGATCAGGTCAATTGATAAATAAATTATAATTCAGCTTTTACAATTTTCTCTGTAGAAATCAGCTGTAACCATTCCAATCTGAACTGATTCAATATGTTATTGTTTAGGGCTCTGAAAACCTGAATAATGTGCATTCATATATTTTAATATATTGTGATATTAAATTCAATTATTTTAACTGATATGTAACTCATGTAATAAACTAGATTGAAAATCTAATTGTTAACTTGTGTTCAATTGCATTTCCTATGCCCTTGTATTAGCTATGTTCAAACAAAACCACGTTAAAATTGTTTGACAAATTATTTGTTCAGGGTTACCATGGCCATCAGGCTTCAGAAATGTTCACCATGTTACAACCCACCCATACTGGACTACAGATTGTCTTTGTAACCATTTAAGGGTCTTCTTCTTCTGCCTTATCCCTTAAATGGAGCATATGTAATCAGACAACTCACATCAAGTCATTCTATACTTTGTTGTCGCATGTGGCTCACTCCCATGTTCTCCCCATCTTTTTAACTTCACTCTCTAGCTCCAGTCTGTGTGTGTGTGTGTGGTTTAAAAAATAAATTATGCCTTTATTTCTATGCCCCTGTGGGTTCCAGTACAAAGACATTCTAGTTAAATTGTACTCAGATTTTCTCAACGTAACCATTTTGTGATGCCCCAGTATAATTGTGCTATATAGCTATACATTTGAACTGGATTTTCAGGGTTTGTTCCTGTTTTGATTCTCACCCTTGAGATGTTAATCTTACAGACTGCAAATCTGGAGTGGGAAAACTTACAAAAAACCAAAATGAATTGCTTCTCTTTTTGTACCAGAGATTGTTAGCTGGGTGTAATCTAAACCAGCATTTCAAACTCTTTTTTTTTCACTTATAGTAGCCCGTAATTTGTGACACTCCTCTCCTTATTTTTTTTTCTTTCAAACAATGGCCAAGTAACGTGCCACCTCCACCTACGGAGCCAAAAACCCTGCCACCATTTACAGTAGGCAAATAATCCACCATCCCCATTAACAAAAGCCAAATAGCTTGCCACCATCACCATTTACAAAAGCTAAATAACCTGCTACCGCCATTTACAAAAGCCCAGTAACCTGGCTTCTCCCATTTACAATAGTCACATAACTTTGTGCCAATGTTCACAATGTCAAGTAGCATACCACCTCCATTTACACAAGCCAAGTTACCTGCTTCTTTCATTCACAATTGCCAAATAACCTGCCACTTCATTTACAATAAGCAGTGAATCTGCAACCTCCATCTATAAATGTCAAATAACCTATTCACAATAGTCAATTAATCTACAATCCTCTTAAATAATAATCAGTTTTTAAAAAAAAAAAGCTACTTGCATGTCTTTAACAAGACCACCACAATTTTTTGACTGATTTCACTAGGCAATTTTATGATCAGTAGTTTGCTGTTGCTTTCTGATCATTTCGGCTCAATACCACTGTAAAAATCAATGCAAGGCGGTCTTCTGACAAACCTCCCATAGCTGGGATCAAACCCATCATTACAAAGCCTGCACACAAACCCTAAGCCACAGGTGCCGACTAATTAGGTAAAGCATGATCCAATACCAAAGGTAGAATATGTATACGTAAAATCAGTGCTGCTGTATGAGGCAGAAAAAAAAATACAGAACAAGCAATAATGATACTAATAAACTACAAATAACTAGTGCCTGCACAGAATAGAACAAACAGCAGTAAGACACTAATACAGAGCTATGTACAGACCTAATAAAATTCTGATGTATTAAGAAGTGAGGAAAAGAAGCTGGCATCAGACAGAAACACATTTAGAAAATAAAATTATAGCCAGAAAGTCATTTATTTGAAACCCACAGGGAAATAACAGACCACATCATCTAAACAGCTTGCCAGTTAACGCCAACATGAATCATTCAAATTTATGTTATTTTCTAGTAAAATTAACATTGAAGTCAATATGTACTATGGTTTATATATTTTATCAGCTCAAGAGTTTATTCCCAGTATACTCCAGTGAACATTAAAAGAATCTCCAAAGGCAAAGATGGCAATGTCACATGAAATAAAAATATATATGGTAATGTCGGATTATGAATTTGAAGTGAAGTTTATTTGTTAAATTCTAATGGCTGTAAATTTCTTTGTATAAACAATATACACTATAGTTTTTGAATAGGAGCATAAGAGGGAGTTCAAAATACACACATCTACTTCAGTATATTCAGTAAATTGTTTTTACAATATAAACATTTTAGCAACACATCAGTATCTCTTATAGAATTATAATTAAATATATATTTGTTGAAGATTTCTGAAACATCATTTCCAACATTTATACATGAAGATATCAACCTAAAGTATGTCATATCAAGTATTTGTGCATGACAGTCCACTGACACGTGTCATTTGCATCTTTTACAGATGAAGATTTCTTTTATTCAAGTACATGAACATTGACTGCTTTGTTGATAATCTTTCGGCATCGTTTTGAACATTCACATTTCATATTAATTAATCAAAGACTAAGTGCTTTTGTTGTTTTCATAGACCAGGATAAGGCATTCAACAGAGTTGATAGACAAGGATTATAGAAAGTTATGTATAGCTTAATATGGAGTGAGCAAACACCTCATTAGTGTGTGCAAAAGTTTATTAAGGATTGCAGAAGCATAATCAGAGCTTGTAATAAATCAGTACATTTACATGTCATGAAGAATAATTATAGAAGAATATGAAAAATAATTCACGTCATTTGGAATAACTGGGCTGTAATGTATCACCACTACTGTTTATCACCTACATTGACAATATAAGCAAAGATGCTAAGCCCAGAAACAAAAATATTAGTGACCCCAACAAACTATTCTTTGCTGATGACCAGGCCATGATAGCTGATACATCCATGAAATTGCAACATTCCCTATCCGTGAATGAAGTATTGAAACAAATATGAGAATCAACACTGAAAAAGATAGAAGTAATGTCAGTAAGTTAAAAAGAAAGAAGCAGAACTCATATATAGCAGTGCAGGGCAAAGGTATTAAATAGACATCTGAGTTGAAAGACCTGGGAATAACATTAGACCAAGAACAAGATGGAAAGATAACATCAGTGAAACTACAACAGCAAGACATGTTTGAGATCAAGGCAGCCAAAAGAGTAAGAAACAGAACCTTTATTTTCCTCAACATCTGAAGAGTTAAAAGAGGAGGTAAAGTAGAAGTATTTTTGTTATAAAATACTGTACATTTGATGTAGATACATAAGAATTCTTTTTTTTTTAAGGAAAACTGTTTAATGCATGCAGCATCTTCAGCTGACATCCTATAGTCACAGACTTGACATTTATGTAGCTGATGTATTTTATGGACCTGCATATAAAACACTTGCAGCGTCCGTGGCTTGAGCGTTTCAAATCCGACTCGTAATCCAACGTACCACGATCGAAGCTAACTGCTGGCTGCAGTTGGTCTGTAAAAATATGGGACGCTCTTCCCATATACCTGATGTGCCTACGGCGTGAAAAGGGATTTTTACTTTCTAACTTTACTATATAAAACACTTTCATTGAGAGAGACAAAAATACTGGGGTATCATTCAGAGTGCAACGCTCAGCCGAGAATGACAAGGAAGAAAAACAGGGTGAACAGAATAATGTAGGGTAGAAAAGCCTCAGCCAGACCCACAATAATCACCGAATACATGCACCACACCAGCATCAGCAGGAAGTGGCCTGGTGTGCACTGAGTGAAAGTGAATCTGGGAATGTTCATGTGACCAAATATTTCAGGTACAGATGCGTTGCTGTGGCTGCTGCTTGTGTTGCTAGCCTCGTTGTCTGTTGGAGAGGATGACTCGCTGTCACTTGGTCCGTTCTCGTGATGGTTGGTGATCAGACCCACTGATGCTGTGTAGGTGATGGTGGCTTTAGGGAATATGCTGTCCTGAGGGTCGGGTTCAACTGTGCAAGCAGAGTTTGAGATTTATTATAAGCTTTAACAGAGATTTCAGTAAACAGTGCACACATTTGTCTACAACAGTAGGTCTCAAAAGCTTATCTAATATTAGAGGTGACTTCGTTGATATGGAAGAAATTGGCTCAGGGATCATAGGTAGGAATCCTGCTCCATGAGGCTGGGCAGTATTATGGAGACCATGTGTTACCTGTGCCTCATGATCCCTTGCTTGGTCTGCCTTGTTTACTCCAATGAAAAGATAACACCTGTATGTTTGGGGTAGAAATGGTGGTGGGGAGGGGGGGGGGAGCAGCAAGCATGCTGCAGAAACTTCTGGATCAGAAGAGCAGGGCTCTATCTGTCCACCTGTCGGAGCTTCCACCCTACACCAGCTGCCAGCCAAGACAAAAGTCTGCCCTTCCGTAGCATTAAGTTTTCAGTTTCTCTTTCTAGGATAAAGCTAGTATTCGTCCTAAAGCGCTCCTCCACATGAAGCCGTTGGCACAATATGGGATGTCAGGTTTGGTATAGGCTACCTAACATTGGACGTTGACAGTACTGACTATACTTTTCACTGTAAGTTTGGCATTTCTCCATGTTTCAAGATTTGTGAGAAAATCGCTGTACTTTTACTGACTATCATTGGGGTCTGAAGCGTTAGATATTCACATACTGGTCACAATGAGTCTGTTAGTGACAATCTAAGTACATCAGGCATGCACCCCTTTCAATTTCAATTACATATTTTTGTCTTCTTTTGAAAACAGGAGATCCCTCTAAAATTGTGAGCTGATCAGTTGAATCCATTCTCAGGAGTGGGTGGACTGAGTGTTATTGTGTTGAGCTAATTACTGACATCACAGCACTCGGGACATGCCCTTAAGCACTCGATCCTCATCTTCAGTGATCGAAGAGTTTCAACTCTGACAGTACCAGTAGCAATTTGATGATGTCTGTCTTGCCTTTCCTGACAGTATAGAGTTCTGACCACACTCTCTGGTCACTGCCAGCTGTACCATTCTCTCAGACCATAATGATCTATTTGCACTGCTGAATTGAAGCATAGGCTAACTAAGCTGCAGTTTAGGGCCTCACAGTTTGCAGGGGCCTCAATAAATTCTGTTTTTTTGTTGGTCTCACAAATGCTATTTTCTTTAAATTGAGCTTTCAGAAGATTTATTTCCATGATTCTGAAGACAATTTTTTATTATAATTTATTTTACTAACAATTAAAAGGCAATATATTTCCGTCATCCATGTATTCAAAAGTTTTTTTTTTTTTTTTTAGATTAGCTCATGTAATTTAAAACAGGAAAAGCCTCGGGGTTTTACAAATCTTAGGACCTCATCAAATCTAAATCTGGCCTCGTCTATTCGTGACTCCTCATTGGTCAGTTGCACCCAAAGTACCTTAACCACATCTATCTTGTCATGCATAAATTCGCCACCCACTGGTGCAGAACCAGCCAGTCTGCAATACTGTTCATGTGCTTGCACATCCTGGAGAGAATATCCAAAAGAACACTAACTATGCGGGACCTCTGAAAAGATGGATTAAGGCAGTAGAAGAATGGGACAGAGGGCGTTCAGAAATGAATATACCATTTCTGGTTCTGAATGAGTTTAGACGTTAGGATGGGAATGTTTGTTTTATTCACAATGCATGAACTAAGCATGTGGACTGACATTTGGAGCTGTTTCTATTATAAACAGACATAAAAACCTGTCTCTAACATGCAATACATATTACTGGTTTTGAAGTGGTGAACCGTCTCTTACTGTCTTCTGTGGACTCGGACACTCTCTTCATCACAGCCTCACAGTACTGGTCCATGGGACGTATTCGCACTGTGAACTCCTCATGTTCGTAACACCTGGAGTCTGAAGCTTTTACTTCGTCTGAATCTGTGCCGGGGGTAGAGTCTGATGTTTGTGTGCAGATTGAGCGAAGTGTCACCAAGGAAGATGAGGCTAACTGGATACAGAGAAAGGAGATAAGTGAGCAAAGTTATCACATCAGTGTCTGTGGGTTTATCTCTAATAAAAATGCTAGTTTTATGAACTGTAGTAAGTAAATGATATTTGTGTCTGTATGTTAAGTAAATACAACTGCATATACGTTTGTTAACATGAGTTTTTTTGTTTTTAACATTCGCGGCATAGTTTGGAGGGGAAAAACACGTTATATACATGTGTAAAGTAAGACATCTTCAGTAAAGCCAAACCAATACACATATTGAGTGATTTCACAGTAAACAACATAACGTACTCTTCTTCTACTGCCATTTATTCCCCAGTGAAGCATAGGACCTCAGCTAAATCACGCCACGTCATCCTATCCTGTAATTACTATCGCCTGCAGCTAACCTGATATCCTCCATCTTTTTAACGTCACCCTCTAGCACCCTCTCCAGGAAAGTGTGTGTGTGTGTTGTTTTTTGGGGGGTGAGGGGGGGGGGGTATGTCATTATATCTATGACACTCAGACTATAACTCAGAAAGCATGCCGAGGAAGGCCTGGACAGGCATCTTCATGCAGAGTGCCATGCTTCACTGCGGAGGACACGGCTGAGGAGTATTGTCTGGATTGTTTTACCAGATATGCCAGTGTGTTGAGAAATGGACAGACTGGCTGGCTCTGCACAACTGGGTGGAATACTCATGCATGATAAGGCAGACGTGGTTAGTGCTTTGTTTGAGAGCGTGTACTGCTTGGAGGAGCAGGTAGATCACCAAGGTCTGGTGAGATTGATGCAGTTGGGGGTGACAAGAGGTTCTGGCAGATGCTCGAGGCTCAGAGGAAAGGTAACACAGACGTTTAATCAGAATGCTACTGGCACCATTAGTATCAGAACTCTGCATTGGCTGCTGAGGATGGCGACGGAACGCTTATAGGAATGCCTTGAGTGCTGTGAAATCGGTTTTTGAATCAGCTCAACTCAACTCATATCTATGACAGCGTGAATTCCCGTACAAAGACATTTTAGTTACTGTTCTCATGTTTTCTCAACGTGTGTCCTATCTAATGCCAGCATATTTTCTTCACTTGATTCACTGGAACTTGTATAGTTCTCTAAAAATACCAGATGCTACTAACTTAAATGGCTGAGGTAAATGTGTAAGGTTGTGAGAATTTGGAATTAATTATTTATGCTATGATGTCTATTCATAAATCCAGAAATAAATTTTGATCCTAATCTTCTTCTTCGCGGTCACTGGCTGTAAACTCCGGTAGAAAGTCTGGTTGTTCGTCCACTTCTGAACTTTAATTATGTTCTAGAACGCAAGCTGTGCGTGCACATGCGTTTTACACATCTGGCTTGTTTTTAAGCAGACTGTTGGTGCCACGCATCTTAGGTTGATGCATTCCGACTGCAAAGGAAACATTCCCTAATTGAGTTGACTTTTACCACATGCTTGTTGTGGGAAGGTAGTGGGTTTACACCCCCCCCCCTCTCTCTCTCAACCCCTGACCTTTCAAATAATCATCATCATGTAACAGGTCTTTTGCAGAAAGTCGCTCTCACCACGGTCTGTCTGAAAAAAGCTCAGTCTCTCGTCAGCTTTTCCGCCACGTGTACTATTCAAGGTGTCACTTATATCTAGAGTCATCTTCGTGTTGGTCGGCCCCTGCCCCTCCTTCCTTGTATATGCCTTCTGATAATATTCCTTCCAATCCGACATGGCGCTTGATATGACCAAAATACTTCCGAGACAAGATGCTGTTTATCAGCCAATCTTCCTTGATGTTTAAATCTTTTAAAATGTCTGTATTTCTGCTTTCCCGGGAAGTAGAGGCGGCCGGCGTGATGCTGACCACATCACCCATCTTGTGCCGTTGGTCTATAAAAATATAGGTCTAGCCCTATATGCCCTATACGCCTAAAGGCGTGGAAAGGGTCCTTTACTTACTTTACTTTACTTATTTCTGCTTTTCTTTGTCCATGGTATTCAGAGAATCTTTCTTTAGCATTTCAGCTCAAAAACCTCTATTTTCTTTATTGATTTGATTTGGTTTGATTCAAAAACCGACATCACAGCACGCGGGGCATTCGCATAAGCGTTCCGTCCCCATCTTCAGCAGTCAGCGAAGAGTTCTGGTACTAATGGTGCCAGTAGCATTCTAATTAAACGTCCATCTTGCCTTTCCTCTGAGCCTCGAGCATCTGCCAGAACCTCTCGTCACTCCCAACTACATCAATCTCACAGACTGTGGTGATTAATCTGCTCCTCCAAACTGTACAAGCTCTCCCACAAGGCACTAACCCCGTCTCCCTCATCATGCATCAGTATTCCACCAAGCTGTGCAGAGCCAGCCAGTCTGTCCGCCTGTTTCGGCATGCCCTGGTGAAAAAATCCAGACAATACTTCTCACCCGTGTCTTCCGCAGCGAGGCATGCCATTCTGCACGAAGCATGCCTGTCCTGATCTTCCTCAGCATGCTTTCTGAGTCAGTTACAATCACAATGTGTTGCGTGTCATGATCTCTAGCCAGCAAAAGCTGCAGTGACCGCCTCCACCTCCATTCTTAAGCTGGATGTTGTGGTATCATATCTAAGCTCTCCTGCACCAAACGTCGACCATTTACTTTTGCTAAGAAACCACAAGCACTTCTTCTGCCTCTTGACACTGAACCGTCTGTGTAAATGATCAAATCTTCTGAGCGAGCATTATCTTGAATTAATTGCTGAATTTCCACCTCTGTGGCACCTGCTGGCCAATCTCTGCATTCCCGGCTCACTGTGATTATGACCCTACACAACTCTGACTGTTCAGGTGGCACTTTGACCCACTCCTCCCTCGCCTAATGTTCTCAAGGATGCAAACCTGTCTGATAGTGTCTTCTGCCTGAGCCATCCTTGACTTCCCTCTTATTAGCCGCTGACCCTTAACTGCAACCAGAGCTTCGTGCAAAGTGCTGTCAGTGATATGACTTCACCTGCAGCACCTTGTGCCTACCTGCAACTGTCGGCAAACCAAGGATGTATCGCATACACACCACTGGGGTGTCTGGTGCAACCCAGAATGACCCGCATGGCCGTGTTCTGTATGCGTTCTAGTTTGTCCATCTGACTCTTTGAAACGGTAAGCAGTCCCAGGCCATAATCAACCACTGACAGGATCAGGTGCTGATATAGTGCGAAAAGCATTCTCTGCTCTATGTCAATTGCAGCCATAGTCTTAAGTGCACCAAGTCCTTTTTTTTTCTTACTTAAGGACAAGGAGTGAGGAAGGGGTGCATTCTCTCACCATACCTTATCAATATATATGCAGAAAAAATAATGAGAAATGTAAAATATGACCAGACTTGTGACAGTTATCAACAGTAGACTTCTAGTAATTTTTCCTCGTCTATGGGTTGTAAGATTATCATCATCAGGTGTTTTGCCGACTGGCGTGGGCGATCATGCCTCTCCATTATCTGCCATCTCCTGCAGCATGTATCAGTTCGTGTGCCGCCACACCTCCATGCCATGCAACAAGACTGTCAAGCATCTTTTCTGGTTGTCTTCCTCTATCCCTCCTTCCACAGATCTTTCCAGTGGTCACAACATGTTATATTTTCCCTCTTCTCATAACATGGCCGAAAAATGATGACTGTCTCCTTCTTATGTCTGTGATAAGTTGTCTTCGGGTTCCCGCCTCTTTCAAAACCTCTTGGTTGCTTTTTTTGGCTGTCCAAGGTATTCTAAGCATTCTTCTGTAAAACCACATCTCTGAGGCCTCTAGAAATTGTTTGGCCTGCCTATCGATTGTCCAGGATTCACAGCCATATGTTAAAACTGGATGTATGTAGCAAGCAAGAATTCTTTTTCTAACTCAATGACAAGGATATATTGCACAAGATGTTTTTCATTTTATAAAATGCAGTTTTTGCCTGTCCTATTCTGTTTCTTATCTCAGTTCTGCATCTTCCATCTGATGTTATACATGTGCTCAGATACTTAAATTTCTGTACTTGTCTAAAATAATACCATCGACTTTTATTTCACATTTAGGAATAATTCGTTTCTTTGATACCACCATTACTTCTGTCTTCCCATTATTCAAACTGAGGCTCATTCTTTCACTTTCTAACACCACAATGTCTATCATTTCGTGTAGTTCTTTCTGACTTGTTGCTATCAAGACTGTGTCATCAGCATAACGTAAATTGTTTATATTGTGCCCTCCAACCACAGTTCCGGGCATATCTTTTAAGGATCTCATTATATATTCACTGTATATTGAAAACAAATCAGGTGACAGTACACATCCTTGTCGTATGCCCCTCTTTATGCTTTGAAATGTACCTAAACAGTTGTTGATTGTTATAGCTGCTGTTTGCTGCCAATACATATTCTTTATTATTCGTAGATCTTTACCATCAATGTTTAATTTTTCTAACAGTTTGATTACTTCTTCATGCTTCACACAGTCAAAGACTTTTTTTTTTATAGTCTATGAATAAGTACAAATCAGTCTTTACTTCTATAGCTCTTTCTGACAATGTCCTTAGGATGTATATGGCATTGTTTGTACCTTTTCCTTCCACAAATCCACATTGTTCATCGCTGATTTCTGGTTTAATTTTGTTTCTTATTCTTCCCATAATGTAGTAAGATCAGACACCCGTAAAAAATCCCTTGGCAGTTGGAAATCGAAAAGAGTAGCCTAATGGCGCTGCCCGTGCAAAATCTGGAGTAAAAAATATGCCCAAAGTATTTCAGGACCCTCACCGGTGCTACAGAGTTCGTGCACTGGGCTGAGACTCTTCGGACTTAGGCTAGGAGTAGAACGGAGAACTTATGGGTTGCTACCCTTGTGCCATGATGTTGATCCAGTGTTTAAACCCTAAAGGTAAACAACCCTTTCAAATGGAGCCCCGAAATCTACAGGGGTATATTCTTTTTTAAAATCAATGATTTATGCAACCTCAAGCGATGAGCAACTGACTTAGGCAGTGCCGTCAGAAGTCAACCTCAACTCACACAGCGACTTACCAATTTGCATTCCCGTTTCCAGAGCTCAACCATGTGTTTGAGGACTATACAAGTACAAATGCGTCCAGTGAGGACCGGTTTGGCAGGGAAAGGGTGTCGGCATGTTGGACATGACAAGCTCAGTCTGCGGACACGGACATCTACATTGTCCTCTTGTGCTATTTCTGCCAGCCTTTTCAAACATCTGGAATTGAAACAATCATTGTTGTCTGCTGGAGGGTAGAGTACGAACTAACTAAATGAATAGAAGACAAATTTTAGTGTCTTCTTAGCATTCCGCGGATGCAAAACTCCGGTGGAAAGTTCTGGTTGTTCGTCCAGTCCTGGACTTTGGTCTTGATCCAGAACTTGAGTTTTGCGTGCACACCCGCTTTACAAATCTGGCTTATTTGTATGTATACTGTTGGTTCCTCACCTCCCAGGCAGATGCACTCAGACTTTAAGGAACACCCCTAATTATTTTATTTATTTAAGTTTTTTTTTCTAAAGTGGCAGCGTCTTTTTTGGACGGTCCACGCTGAGTTTCATTTTGTTGAAGAAAGAAAAAAAAGGGCACCATCCGACACACACATAAACACTCACCCCTGATCAACACCGCTAACATTTAAACAAAGCACTCTGTAGTCTGGTCAATAAAAGTTCTAATTTCTCTAACCCTTGACCCATTAGTGTCGTGAAGGTGTACCGTAGTAGGTCAAGCAGTAGTACACACAATTCGTCATCTTTCTCTGTCTTCCGCTTGATGAACAAGTGTGTGATAACTTAGTCCTGTCCGTTTCTTGATGTTGTCCTTCCAGTTTCTTAGTTGCCCTCCTCTTCTTCGAGCGCCCGCCCACCCCCCAAACCAATGTTCCTTGAAGTACAGTCTTTGCAATCATGTCTGACCACGTGCCGGAACCAAGCTAGCCTGTGACGTTTCACCACTGCCAAGGGAGGCTCTTGATGTCCTGCAAATTTGTTTTGTCTCAGACATATTTCTTAGTTTTGTGTTCAAAATAACTAAATTATAAAATGCGTACATTCGAAAGCTTGCATCCTTTTTTTCCCATTTCGACAGTGAGAGCCCAGCTCTGACATCCGTATAATAGACAATACCAGTGATTTGTATAAATTGACCTTAACTGGGATGCTGATTGTGCTCTTTCCCCCGCATTCAGATGGGACATCGCGACTGTTGCCATAACAAGTCTTGTCTCGAGCTCTTTGGTTCAGTTGCCATCGTTACATATGTGGGGGCCGTGGCATTGACAAGTTTTAACTTCGTCTAGTTTTTTCCTCATTGTATCTGTATGTTGGTGGGCACTTCATTACTGTGGCTGTTTACCAGAATCTTACTTTTTTCCCGGCATTAATGCCCATGCCATATTTACCACAATCAATCAATCTATCAGGTGCCGTCTCCACAATGAAGGTTGGCTGCAATGGATCTCCAACAAGCCCTGTCTCTTGCCCTTGATGTATACTCACTCATACTGCTGTTCGTCCATCTCTTGATGTTATCCTCCCACTTGTAACGATGTCTGCCACTTGCTCGCCTACCTTGAAACTTTCCCTCTAGGATGATTTTTACAATACTGTTATGACTTTTAATGTGGCCAAAATATTTCACTTGTCTCTTTTTTTATTTGACATAGCAACTCTCTTTTCTTTCCCAATTTCCTCAGTACCTCTGTATTTGATAGCTTTTGTTTCCATGAAATACGACCTAATCTTCTGTATATCCACATCTCCAAAGAATTGATACGATTTTCCAGTTGTTTGTTCATTGACCATGTCTCTGTGCCACACAGTAAGGTTACCACAGCGTGTCTCTAATTTGTTTAGTACGTTCTTGGTTCTGCTTCGTAACCAGCTATAAGATCAATGTCGTCTGAGAACTGTAAATTACATAGTGGTCTTCCGACAATGGATATGAATCTTTCATGATTTTCTAGTCTTTCTCTCATGATGTATTCTGTAACAGTACCCAGTACATGTTTCTCAATCAAAATACATCTGATAAGTCGGAAACTGAACACACGAACATTGTGAAGTAGATGGTGCCACTTGTGTCGAAAAGTATAGAGTTGTCATACCAGGCGTTATTCAATATGATATTGGAACTTTGACAAGCGTACCGGAAAAGTAGTTTTGTCTTAAGGTTAGGAAAATAAATGTTAAAGTTTGGTCCGAAATTTTTTCAAAACCATACGAGCCTTTCCTACCAACAAACAACCGTTACAAATAACCGTTCAGTTACCAAAAGTTAGTTCAGGAGAAAACTGTGTAATGGTCATGGTGGCTCGGTCATGGTTGGCTTATTTCACTTCTAAAAACTCGGCATTTTGCATCTGTTGCCTTCTTCATTCTAATTCAGATCCCCAATCCTCTCGGGGTCAAGAAAATTGATTTAACCGGTAAAAAAGCATCTGAAATGTTAATTGTTAATGAAAATGACAAGAAACTGATTTTGAGAGGAAATAGGAATGTGTTAAAGAGACCTTGTTTGGTTTTATCCAGATAAGCCAGAAGGTTGTTAAAAGCTTGTTTCAAGGCATATTGAACCAATCAGACAAATATGAAGTGGAACTAGAAGATTGTCAGTACTATGACAACTCCGCTGCGACTGCTGGACACAGAAATGGTGTGTACATACATATGTGTACCTACAATTTGGCATGAATATATTTAATGACAAGTTTTGAAATAACTTCTGCTGCTGCTTCTTATTCTTCTATTCCACCTTGTACCTCAGAGAAGTGTTGGGGGGGGGGGGGGGGGGGGGGGGGGGGGGTAACAATTGTTAATGAGCTCTGTCAAGAGCACCATTAAGACTGATGTTCATTTCTGTAAGGCTGTTTCTAATGCCATGACTCCATATTTTCCGAGGTCTTCCACTCGCTCTATACCCATTGTAATATTTTAGTGTGGCTCGCTGTGGCAGATAGTACCAGGGCATTCTTGTTAGGTGTCCAAACCATTTTATTTGTTGTTCCTTGATGATTTGTAAGACTGGCTTTATTCCTAGCATTCGTCTGATTTCGTATTCTGTCTTTCCTTGAAACTCCTGCAGCTCTTCTAAGGCATTTCATCTCTGTTGTCACAATTTAACGTTCATTGAAGGATGTAAGTGTCCACGTCTGGCATTGATAGCATAGTGTTGGCCAAAAATTAGTTCTGAAATAATGCACGCATGAAATTCGATGAAACAGTTGAAAAGGAAAGGCTTATGTAAACAATGTTTTGCATATTTATCATATCATAATTATTTACCTTTTGCAAAAGGTGTGGCCACATTCTAGAGTATGAGGATCGTGAAGATATCCAAAGCATATGGTGCATCGAAGAAACAGACTCCAATGTTCTGGAAATATATTCTAGACGAAAATACGTGAAACATCAGCATAAACACCTGTTTATTCTGGTACCACAAAGTAATTAATCAGAGTTTTTGATGGACAGTATGTTATTACATTCATTTATTTAAGCCTACAGTGCAGAAATACAATTTCAGCAAATAGACTGGTAAAATCGGTCAGTCAGCTACGTTCTGTTCACCCCCCCCCCCACCCCACCCAACCCTCCCAATCCCCAACAATCCCCCAGCAATATATATAAATTCCATTTTTTAAAATGGTATCACTGTGTATATTTCATACTGTATACATTTCACACTTGTTCACCCATACAGTATTATTATATTTGTTGCCTTTCAGTGCATTTTTATAATTAATTTGTAATCATATAAGCCCATGTTACTTGCGCACCCCTCCCCCACACACTTATACACCATCCTCCTGGTGAAAGAACATGTTTGTCAATATCAGTGTATGAAAATTAGACTTTTGTTACTAGCAAAAGTCGCAGTCTTGGATTAAATATATGGGGTGGGGTTTGCAGCTGTCATTACGGTTGCAATGTCTAGGTTAATTACGCTATTTGCAACAAGGTTCCTGCGTCATTCTGATAGTTAATGCCATAGACACTAAAAGTTAACGTTTACTGGAGATATTTCCCTTGAGTAACTACATATTGTTTACACTTCAGTAGCAAATAACTAGTGAATCAATAACAAATAACTAGTGTATCAGTAACAAATACTTAGTGGATTAGTAACAAAAAACTGAAAACCTGACTTTGAAATTGATTTCAGCCTCTACCATTGTCCGCAGGCTGGCGTCAGTAACATGTCTTACTTCCCTGTCTGCCTCCCCGGGTCCGTTGTCTTTCTCGTGTGCATTAACTTGATTTGGTTGAAACACATTATACAATCATTATACAGTCAAAAATAACACACTGTAGGTACTGTCATATGTTATATTAATACCATGCAAGAAGTTAGTTACAATATAATACTAACACCCTGTACGTAGTCAGTTATGTGTAATACAATCTGTAAGTACAATAGTTGCATTTTAATACTAATCCCCGTACCCCTACCCCATGATTTACCAGAAACTAGAAGGCTCAAACCCGCCCCCCCCCCCCTTTTCCCATAATTTACTACGTTTGGCGGAAGGCTCAAGTAAGCTTTGTTCAGTCGCCCAGTAATAATAATAATAATAATTATTATTATTATTATTACTGCGCAACTGAATAATAATAATAATTATTATTATTAATATTCTGCCTTATATATTAATTAAATAATAACATATTTGAAATAATATAAAACACATAAACAAAGGTTTAAAATTGATGGTGGGAACAAGAGTTTTGGGATGCTTCCAAAGAAAATTATTGCTGGTGGGGGAAGTTACAATTTGATTTGCGGGCCCGCTCAAGGTGCCTAAGCTCCCGGGTTCCGGCGTCTTTGATCCTATTACATTATTATATTTTTGTTGTTTAATGCATTATTACTATTATTTTTATGATTATTATGCCTAATGGTAAAGAAATTCAATACTATACTTAATATGACATGTATAACCAAATATTTTTAAGAGAATGTCAATAGCCATTTAAAGGGAGCCTCTTGGTCTCTATAGCGGCGTCCGTGGCTGTGGCATTGCGAGTCCGACTCGTAATTCCAACTTACCGCGATCAAAACCCACTGCTGGCTGCGTGGATTTTTATCATGGTTTGGGGCGTTGCAAGGTCGACCTAATCTAAAACTGGTACCAGGATGTATATACTGGGAAAGTAATACGGCCGGCGTAATGCTGACCACATTACCCACCTAGTTCCGATTGGTCTGTAAAAATATGGGGTGCTCTTCGCATATGCCCAATGCGCCTAAAGGGTCAAAATAGATCTTTTTTGTGATCCCTATACACAATTATTGTAGGAAAAATGGGTCCTCAAGCCCCCCTCCTAAAAAAAAATTGTTGGGGTGAAGGACGGGGGGGGGGGGGGGGGGGGGCTGGTGGGCCTGAGCTCCCAGGTCCCGGCACCTATGATAATAATATAACTAAGTGTAGAGTACTGCTGTATGGAACAGAAACATGAAGAACAACTAAAACAATAACTAAAAAACTACAACCATTGATTAACTGGTGCCTGCGTAGATTAGAGGGAATTAAATGGTATGATAGAATCACTAATGTTGAGCGTTGGGGGAGAAACAAATTCCAGTGAATCAAGAGGGAAAGAAAAGACGCTGGCGTTGGATAGGGCACACTTTGAGCTACATGAGAACAATATAACTAGAAGGGCTTTAGGCGAGAGATCACCTCTGCCTTGTGCAGTTGCAGTACAACCCAAAGAACGGGGGGAGGGAAAAGGCGGGGGGGGGGGGGCAACCTGTCTGCCTACTCATTCCCAAACACGCTTATATGACCCAGGCAAAAAATCCACAACTCCCCCTCCCTCCCCCACCCCCTTGCGACCTCTGGATTGATGAGATCAGTTCCATATAAAGCAAACCAGACTCCGCTTTCCTGAGTACACTTTACGTATCTGATACTGTGACAACATGTGGGGCTGAGATGTTCGCTCTCCTCGGAAAGCTGCAGTTACCGTCTCAACCTCCATTCTCATCTGGATGTGGTAATGTCGTATGCCAAGCTCTCCTCGGTTATCCTTTTCCCCCACGCTTTTACAATGAAACCCCTTCTTCTCCTTCACTCACATTAATAAATCTCCCAACATAAAAGGAATTCTTGTAACCCTATGATTGAAGCATACATACATTTGGTTCCCCGACAGTGCTACAGAGTTCATGCAGAGTTCTCCTAAGTCATATACAAAATAAACTGGAGCGCTTATGGAGGTATCTAGTATATCCTTTACATGCCAGATCAAAATATTACACTTATAAATTGCACATGTCTCGCATGTCTTTATTGAATCCATTCATGATAAACGAATAAGTGAGACAGTGGCTTCTCATTACTATTTAGAGGCAATTATATAACAATAGGAACAAATACCTTTCTACAGTTCTACAAATCAATGCTACTACATTTCTATTTCATCAAGGATGTGCTAAGTTCTTATCTGTGCACATTCAGAAATGGTGCCATAGAGTGTACTTGTGTGTGCATTTTGGAGAAACTATTGACAAGTAGAGAGATAAAACAACATATTGAAAATGATAATCGTCAAATGTTATGTATACTCAACTTTGCTGTATGGTGCAGAAACTTAAACAATGATTAATATAAGCAGCTAGAAAATCTGAGTCCCTGGAAGTGTGGATTTTCCCGGCCTTCTGTCTCGTGTACTTTCTTGTAATTAACTCTGACATGGATGATGATCCATGCCGTGACGTCAAACTGCCCAGCATCTTTTCTCTCGGTCTACATCTGACTCTCTTCCCCTCTAGCTTTCCCACTGTCACAGTGGGAAAAATACACCTACCTGCGTATGTATACTCAGTGATTCAATGAGTTAAATCCGGAGGGTTCAGGCAGATTCAGTACGAAGACAATGGCTTGAATCATTACAGAAGTCCACTGTGCGTGGAGTCACCTTTATTTTTGTTCCGGGACACGCAGGCGTCGATGGAAATGAAAGAGCTGACAAGTTGGCTGGATCCGCTATCACTACCGACGGTCAGCCTATGGATCATGCTGATATTATCAATGCCCTCAGAGAAATGGGAAGGATAGAGGACTTTGGTGGCAGTGTATCCACATCACTCGCCAGAATGGCAGACTTGGGAATTAAGATCGGCACAGCAAAAAACGAGACGCACACCAGACACGCCAGAAGACTTGTTAATCAACATAGAACTGGTACTATTAGCCATAGGACGTTGGGGTTCATACTGAGGGGAGGATCTGAGCACCTATGGACATGTCCGGAGTGCAATGATGATAACCCAACTAACTAACTAACTAACTAACTAACTAACTAATTTCCCACTGTCACAATAAATTCCAGTTTTCTCCTTCCCACAACATGACCTCTCAAATTATCAAACACTAAAACTGTCGTCACTGGTATGTTACCCGCAACAACGACTCAACTGAATCAATACAGCGAATGATAAAGAAACATTGAGAGGATATACGTTTATGAAGAAAGCAAAAGTGGAAACATTTTTGGGACGAAAACACTACAAATGTACGTTTTTGAGCTTCATAAAAAAGTTGAATGTTGAGAATCGACATCATAGCACTTGGGATACTCCCATATGAGCTCCGTCCCCATCTTCAGCAGCAAGCGACGAGTTTCAGTTCTGATGGCACCAGGAACTGTCTGAGTGTACATCCGTCTCGCCTTCCCTCTAGTGATGAGCGTCGGCCTATTCTCCTCGCAGCGCCATTCTCCTCAGACCGTATTGATTTATCTGTGCCATCCGTACTGTTCACTCGCTCCCATAGGGCCCTCATAACATCTAGCTTTGTCACACATCAGTTCACCACCAAGTGGTGCAGAACCGGCTAGTATTTCTGCGTGCTCATTTCCCAACATATCGGCATGACCTGGAGATATCTGACAATCTAGACTAGTGCTTGAGTGACCTGGACAATGAGACACTTACTTTTTTCTTCAGTCCTTCTGTCAGAAAACTTTATATCAAGAGGTCAGTAGCCTCAATGAAAGATACTGTGCAGACTAAATCTCCCTGTATATTTCATACAGCATTGTTTTCACTTAGGTTGGAACATGCCAGCTGGGTTCTCAGTTAGCAGCATGCAATTCTACAGTGTTGGAGTATATACTCAGTATTTTGAGGTGCCAAGTTTCAGGAACATGTTTCCGTGTTTCCTACATTGAAAAACTTGAACATATGTTGATACAGTGTATTGTGCCATGTCCTTAGTCTGAATATGATATACTGTCCCTCTCTTGACGAAGTTTACGGGAGCAAATTTGGAATGGGTATCCAACCACCTTTGCTTGATAGTTGTCTGAGTCTACTAGTGGGTTAATGTCACAATTCGACTGCCTTATGTCACTGTCGCTCCTGGCCAATCTGTCCGCTATTTGATTGCTTTTTATGGAGAGGGGGAGGTCCATTTTCCCCCTCCCTCCCTCCCCCGCAAAACTCAAGATCTGGGATAAGACAAAAGTCAAGAAATGGATAAACAACCATAACTTTGCGCACGTGTTTACAAGTTAACGCACAGAGGAAGATTGTCTTCTGGGCAGCAGTGACCTGGAATCCACTGCATGGCGACCTGTTCTACTGATAAGCCAGTGTAAATGACTTGTAGCGTTAAGTCTACAAACTGCGTCTTATGGGTTAACAATTATTTATAGAATAGAATACCATACTAATCTCCCAGAGGGGACAAACACTATATATCGTTTCGGGGCCTGTAACAATACAGCAGACAGCGTGACCAGCTAGAATACTAAAAAACATCTGACTAGTCGTTCATTCAAGGGACAATATACTATTTTTATTTTAATATATTATAATATGCCAAATAGCGGAGAATTTTTGCAATAAATAACTCAAAAATTGTAAATATTTTTTTGATATATAGTAAAATGTATAAGTGCAGTAATGTATTTATGTAGAATTTTTGGATCAGCTGGGAATTCAAAACCTATTTCCAGATCTTTGTCCTGAGATAAATTTAGAATTCCATAGTGATAATATGGTGTACAATGTACACACTTCTTCCTCTTCTGTGGCTTCGTCTTGATTTCTGAAGGTTTAGTTGTGCATGTAGGACTATGCTCGTGTAATGTGACTAGAGTATATCATTCGCAACAGCAATATATGCAAACCGCTAATTAAGGATATCTTTTTTTAATCAATTGT